TTCTAGAATTGCGCCGCTCAAGGTGGCTGCATGTTGGAGCAGTTCTGTTACTTTCATTCTGAGATTTTGCTTTTGGAAACTTTAATTCCTCTTTTTCTGGATGTAAATCACATTTTTTTGGATGATTGTTTCCTCTGGTATCAGAAGCTGAGCAGCTGGAAGGATTTTTACTGAAACTTTTTTAGTTTTGGACATTTGTTATGATGCGTAACCATGGCGACAAGGCAGTTTTCTCCAACCAGCAGCTGATTAACATCTCAAAAGCTCAAATAATATCTCAACTACAGCCCCAAATCTCAAGTGAGTTGAAAGGATGTTATCTGGATGCATTCTCATCTACCTGCCAGCTGTGCTCGAGTGCCTGACCACTGAGATCCTGGAACTAGCAGGAAACACGGCTCATGACAGTGGAAGGACAGGATCGTCCCTCGGCACCTACAGTTGGATGTCTGCAGTGATGAGGAGCTCTGCAGACTGCTGGGAGGAGTGGCCGTCGCTCTGGGAGGAGTTCTGCCCAGCATTTGGGCGGTCCTACAGCCCGGGGGAACCGAAAGTCCAGCCGAGTTTGGGTGGACGGATCAGACGGCATCTGCAGCCAGTCTCTTAGGATCCACTGTGGGATGGACCTTTACAAGAGATCCTTCCTGTCTACAGCCATCAGCATCTATAACATCTCTTAATGAAATGAGGATAACGAGTTACAACAACAAATAATTTCCCTTTGGGATTAATAAAGTATTCTTGAATTAAATTGAACATAGCTCAATATTTGTATAACTGACAGAATTCTAGAATAATTTCTAGAATTTTAGAATTTATTCTAAAATTTATTTATGCATGTATTATTTATGTATTTTCTAAGGTCAGTTGGCTGTGGGCAGCCATCTTGTACTGGACAAGCTCCAAAAGGTAATTAATAGTAAAGGTACACCTACGCCTGTTGATTTTCTTCAAGGTCCATTAAAATCTGTCTAGATGTTCATGAAATATTTTGCTAACAGGCAGATGATGGACAATAAGATTAATTTGTCATTGGGTTTGTGTTGGTAATATGGGTTATGATATAAAGCAGTGGTTCCCAACCCTGGTCCTTGAGGAACGCCATCCTGCATGTTTTAGTTGTTTCTCCGCTCCAACACACCTGATTCAATGATTTAATTCATGTTCTGCAGAAGCCTGTTAATTACCCATTATTTAAAATCAGGTGTGTCGGAGCGGAGAAGCAACTAAAACATGCAGGATGGTGTTCCTCAAGGACCAGTGTTGGGAACCCCTGATATATATAGTACAGTGACTGAAGACAAAAAAAAAAACCAACAAGCATCAGTGGAAGCAAAACTCAGATATAAGAAGGCACATCCAGTCAGAAAATATAATTATAGGATCCAAAATGACTGCAGTCACATAAACACCACTCCAACCCATTATGAGCCAAAACTCAAAGTGATGCAACTGGATACTATAGACTGGCCTCCAGTGAGTGGTACTGCATTTCTCTTTATACTACATGTATTACTGTTTTTTTTTTTTTTGTACAATCACTTTAAATGGTCAAAAAAAAAATACAAGTTGTTTGTTTATTTTTATCCTATTAAAAACAAATTTATTCAGAGGATCCTCAAAGTTTTGATCCAACGCACCCAACACAGGCATTCATGCATGTAGGTGATGCTGTGACGTTTAAAAACTTCTGTCATGAAATTCTTTTGTTCCTGTGTGCGTACTTTATAGTAACGTTACATCCAGTAATATTTGAAAATGTTCATCAACCAAATTTATCTTGTTATACAAACACTTTCCTAATGACATCACCCATCATCCAGGATAAGCATATTTTCTAAAGCAGCTAAAACTGACATGAAGATGAAATCTGTCGAGTAACACACGTAAACTGGTCCCATAGTTCCCATATTTGTCCTTGGGCCAACATCTCTATGTTCTGGAGCAACGTAAAGATGAGCTGGAACGGGTTCTGGTTCACTTGGTTCGCAAGTCCATCCCCTGAGATGCACTTTATGGACCCCGTGTGTCCCCCGATAACAGATTTAAGCTTTAACTTTGTGTTGTACATACTAAAAAGCAATGAAACGATATTTTAGAAAAACCATCATCTGGACATTTTATTTAACAAGTGTTTCATAAAATCCCATAAGAGTGACATTTCTATAAGCACAAAACAGTTCTAAAATCTCCAGAACAAAAAGAATACAAGGAGACATTTTAAGTTGTGTAACATGTTAGAAGAGTTGGTGGCTCCACAGGAGGGAACTTCTGACAGGCCTTCTGAGTCTTGGTTTTATCACGTGCCCAGTTTGTATCTCATTAGTTTGTAGTGCCATGGTCAAAGCAAAAGAGTAATGATAATTTAATCCTCACTCCAAACAAGAAGATCAGGGTCACACAGATAAGTCAAGCTGATAAAAGAGCCTTTTTATCTGCTGTTCAAACAGCAGGTTCAGATGTTTACTGCCGCACGGTGCAGTACAGAACAGTACAAAAACAGCCTTTAACGCATGATCTTCTCCAAAGAGAGGCAGTCATCACGTCCCTGATTTCACATATTTAAAATAAGTGCTTTGAAGACAGTCATACAAGTTAAAAAAAGCACTAAAACAAAAAAAAAAAATTCATGAGAAGAAAGAAGATTCTGCAGAACTTCCATCCTAAATGTGTCCACATTGCGCTGGGACAACACTAACAAAAAGGAAACCTATCTAAAGGAGATCTGAGATGGCTGAGGTTCCTGGGTTTTCCCCTCACATGCTGCCACCTTTTGGTCCGCCGCTTATGTTTGGAATCTGATCTGCAAAGGACTCGTTCATCCACTCTCCGTCGGGGAGCTGGCCCTCCGTTTGTGACGTTGTCGCCTCCTGCGCTCCTTCTGAAAGACAAGGACGTCCAAGCAGAGGCAATGAACTTTTAGTTTTATCAGGTACAACTTCATATGTCTTGAGAAAAGTTTGTATTAAGGAGTTTGGCAAAAAAAAAAGCCAAGATTTAAGATCTTGACCGTGATCCACGCTTTACTGCGGTGATCATATCCGACAACCTCTCCAGGCTTTTAGAACAGAAATGTCTGATCATGAAGACGACAACGTTTTTGTATTCACTGACTTGAAACAATAAAGTTTTTTTAAATAAAAATGTATTGGGTTTACCCAAATGGGACTGTGTTTTTAGTTTTACAACAAGGTTATACCAATTTTATTGTTCCGTCGTTTCAGCTACTATAATTTTCGCCATATAAGTCAGTTTTTTGCATAAATTTACAAACCCTGCAACTTATACAGTGAAGCAATGTATTTTTATGCCCCCCCCCCATATTTAAAACCCAATTTTTGACTGACATCTGACCGTTTTCTTTCATTCTGACCTGGAAAATATTGAACACTACCATTTTCAGCCGCTAGAGGGCCCTCGAGTAATATGGCAAGCCGAGTGTCTCATTAAAAGGTATAAGTGGCTATTAATGAGACACTTTGCTTGCCATACCAGCCACTTTCATCTCGCTCCGGAAATCCTGGAACAAACGTCAAGTCAGCTGCATTTTTCTGCACCGCCCAGACAAAATTCAGCTGATTTGACCATTAAAGTGCATTTATTAAGGAAAAGTTCAACTGAGACGCACTTTTGATATAATTTAGAGCAAACAAATAATTGTTTTTGACACAACATGCACGGTGACGCATAACAGACGCGACGTATACGACGAAGCGACATATTTATGTTTTTTCCACGTTATTAGACATATTTGGACTGATGCGACTTTTACGGCGGAAAGTACGGTATTTCCTTATTTCTGTTTCCAAAATGCGTGCATTTGAAGAATGGATATAAGATTTTAAAACTAGGTTTACAAGCATTTTAAAACATATTTCACAGAAAACAATTAGCGAATTAAAACAGTTATGAGACAATTGTCTTATTTCACTGATGGGAGATAAATTTAAAACAATTTATTCTAGTAAAGTTGAACTAAGATGTTGTAATCAAAGATTTCTGGAGTTCTATATTTATTATTTCTGTGTTCATCATGTGGAAACAAGACAATTAAAATAAAAAGGAAATCACAGGAGTGAATGCACAACATTAGCTTTGACCTTGTTTTGAGGTTACCTTTGTTTTCAGCAGATGAGAATGTACAATGACCATTGAGCTGATGTTCAGCTTGGCTGTCTTCAGGTCCTTTCTTCATATATGCTCCACCAAAAGCATCTTCATAACCTGGATCATACTGCTCCTCCTTTATTGCTAACCTCTTGGCATCCTCTGTTGGTTTGAAATAGGAGAAATTAAGAAAAGGTTCAACAGAATCGAACAAACCACTCTGAAGATGTGAAGGTGTCGACATGTTTAGGTCATCAATGTAATAATCCTAATTTCTGAAAAACTGTTGAACTATCCTAGTAGTGAATTCATCTAAAATAGAGAAACTGCATTTCCTGCAAAAATGCAGTGTGAATGCTTATTGCTGAATAACTTTTTGAAAATCAGCTGAAATTAGCTAAAAAAAAAAAACATGCTGAAATGTAGCTGAAATGGAAGAACAAGCTTAAATTAGCAGAAGAAAATGGAAAGAACGCATTTGTTGAATTAGGTTTAAATAAGCAGAAATTAACACAAAACTTAGGAAATTAACAACAAAAATTGGCTGAAATAAGAAAAATAAAAACTCAAAAGTAACTGAAAATGCAGAAAGAAGCTTAAACGCTTAAAAACTTAAAGAAGAATGTAGAAAGAGCTGAAATGAGATTTTTAAAACATGTGGAATTAGTTGAAAAAGCTAAAATTAGCAGAAAAGCTAAGAGGAGAATGACGAGCGGAAATTAGCATAAAAAAGTTAATTAGACTGAAAGTAGCAGAAATTACCACACAAAAAACTTTAATTTATCTGAAAACTGTTCAAATTAGCTAAAGAGTTAGCTAAAAAGGTAGAACAAGCTTAAATTAGCAGAAGAAAGAACACACGTTTGTCCAATTAGGCTGAAAGAAGCAAAAATTAGCACAAAAGAGTGGAAATTATCTGAAAAAAGCTGAAATTAGCAACAAAAAAAATCTGAAAATTAGCTCAAAAGCAGTAAGAAGCTTAAATTACAAGAAGTGTAGAAAGCACATTTTTGTTGAATTAGGCTGAAGAAGTTGAAATGCAAAAAATGTGGAATTAGCTGAAAAAGCTTAAATTAGCATAAACGGCTAAAGAGTAGCTGAAAATGTAGAAAAAGCTGAAACTTGCATAAATAAGCTGAAAGGAGCATAACAAGCTGAAATTAGCAGAAAGAAGTTAGAAGAAGCACAGAAATGTTGTAGTGAAATAATCTGATAATAATAAACAGCTGAAATGAGCTGAAATTACCGGTAGCTGAAAAATGTTTAAATTTGCAGAAGGAAGCTGAAAGAAGCTGAAGCAGAACAAAATGTGAAAGGAGCAGTAAAAGGTTGTAAACACATCTAAAGATTTGAAGGATGTAAAATGAGCTCAATTCATTTTCTGTGAGAAAAAAAAATGGCAGAAAAGGTTAAACATTTCAAAAAGCTAAAGTTGCACCAATACCAAAAGTCACAGCAGGACTGATCTGAATGAGCTGAACATTTTGATTTATGATTTCTTGAAATAGCTTGATAACTATGGGGTGAGAATCATGTTGAAAAACGTACAGAAGAAAACTGGATCACAATAGTGTGAATGCTTTGCGAGCGTTCCCACAATAACAGTGAGCACCTGAAGAATAAATCACGATGCTACTCACTGCGCTCGATTCATTCAGCAATGGTCCGGCTTACCTTTAGCTAACTTGAGGTCAAACGTGTAGTCCACCTCCTCGATCTCGGTGCTCTTTCGAACGCCCCTCAGCTGATCTCTGAGCTCCTTCAGTTTGATGTAGAAGTGCACTTTGTCCTGAGCGCGAGGGAACTGGGCACAGCGAGCGCTGGATGAAGGCATCAGATACAGGGCCTGCACAGGACAAAGCACCATCAAATCCCTTCCCTAAAGACATTTCAAAAGATGCTTTCCCTTCCCAAGTACTGGTTTAAATTTAAAATATATTAGAAGCAGAAAAATCAGGTGTTTGCAGTCACCTTGGGCACCACTGTGCAGTATTTAAATGTTTATACAGCATATGATTAAATGAGTTGAATAAAAAGAAAGTTTTAAGGACTGGAGACCTTTTTATTTGAAAGATTTTATAGTGTTTAAAGGTATTTTTAATCCTGCCGTTTTTAGTTGGGGGTTTTTGTTGTCCTTTTTTAAGTCCATGTTTTATTTTCTCGAGAGGTTTTATATTGTAGCAGTTTGAGATTGCAAAATGTAAAATGCAGTACAAATTGAATAAATTGTTATTATTATTAAAAACAAGACCTGGGTGCACAAATGTGAATTTATTGTGGCTGTTCTCTAATCTAAAAAAGGTCAAAATTATGTGTACAGGTCCAAATATAGTACAGACGTATATTTACCTTTTTTTTTTTTTAAACAAGTGGTGGAGGAGTCAAAGCGAGGCTTTTAAACCTAAAAACACCGCACCAGTTGTCAAGCATGGTGGTGGTAGCATCATGCTGCGGTACTAATGCTCCGGTCCTGTAATTCTGGGGCTGCAGGTTTGAGCCCAGTTTGTGTCAGGAAGGACATCAGGATGAAACAATTGCCGATTATTTCACGCGAGTTCGCTCGCTGCGGTGGCCGCTGCAGCGGGGAGCAGCCGAAAGAAAAACATGTATAATCCTAAACCACAAACGATCCACATTAAATTCAAACGTGTGCACTCGCATCTTGTTTAAAAGAAAATCACTGAAGTTGCACAATTTTTCCACCCTGGAAAAATAATTATTCATTTAAAGCCTAAAATTAATGTGACATCTACATCGCCCATGGGTTCACGTACGAGCAGACTCGTCACCAGAATAGTATATAAAAGAAACTTAGGGAACGAACGGCTGTAGCTGGAGAGCTGAGACAACCGAAGCTCAGCAGCACATTGCAAATTATTTGTATTCCATAGAAGATCAAGAGTTTGCATCATCTTGGGCATGGCAAACCTGGCGAACAAAAAAAGGGGGCGGAGTCATTCTCAGCTATTTTAAAGGCATGAAAGGATTATTTTATTAGGAGAAAAATCTTTATTCTGTAATCTTATACAAGAAGAAAGGGTCAGGTAAACATCAAAAAGCATCTGTGCTGTTAATGACGGCTTTAATTTCCATACTGACTTTTTAAAAATCAGTACTCTTGGTAAATGTGTCAGGACTCCTTAAATGTGTTATTTACAGAATCGGATGATACTTTTTTTTTTTGTTTGGGTAAAGATATAGAACGGACGTTGGAGCTGAAGCAGAAAGACTTTGTAAAAATACAAACTTGGTTTAAACTTAATAAATAATAGTAATAGAAAGAGAACTGTCGATGTTCTGTTTAGAGTCGAGGGTGTTGAGATTTGTAGAGTTAGTGCGGTGAAGTTTTGGGTGTTATCATTGATGAACAGCTGACATGGAAACATCACATAAATTCTGTAAGAACAAAAATATTTAAATCTATTGCAGTACTGTACAAAGTTAAGGGAGTTATTAAATGATAAAACTCTTTATATGTTCTATAACGCAATAATTGTTCCACACTTCATCTATTGTATTGATGTTTGGGGGGAAAGCGTGTAAAACATTTACAAATCTTATTTTTTGTTTTACAGAAAAGAGCTGTAAGAATTATCACCAGGAAGCATTTCAGTCACACATCAAGTACTTTATTTTATGAACTAAAGATTATAGTATTTTATCAGTTATGTATAGGGCTCATAATAACACGTTACCTTTAAATATCCAATTAAATTTTGTTAAAAGAGAGAGACGTTATAATCTCAAGTGGATAGAGATATTTGTGAAACCTAAAAAGGAATTAGATTATGGAATAATCTGGAGAGCGATGTTAAAAATGTCAGATCAATGCGTATGTTTAAAAGAATGATCAAAGTTGATTTGTTGAAAATTTTAAAAAAAAAAGAAGCTTAATGTGCATTTGTATGAAATGTTGCTTGAGAAGGAGTTATTTTGTTTTTGTTATTTGAAGATTATTATAGTTTGAATTAATTTTTTGGTAAAAAGGGGCAGATACAAGATTTGTTGTTCTTCTTTCTACTGTCTTTCAATTTATTTGTGATTGTATGTCTTATTGTATATAGAATTGTTTTGTTTAAAAAAAAAACTTTATAATAATAATAATAATAAATCAGTGTTTGTAAGAAAATGTTTTGCACATTTGCTTTGGTGTTAAAATATTTTCAGTCCTGGGTTGATCATATAATCACACTATTGTGTTACTATTGTCAGGCCACTTGTGTCGTTTTCTTTCTAATATTTTTCTAAAGTTTAATATAATTTAACAAGTGGCATTATGACTCCATGTCAACTTGCAGATTTTTTTTTTTAAAGTGACATATTTAAGTTCTCACCACGTCACAGTCAGGGATCTTGTGCGGCTGCAAACCAAAGTCAAGTTTTTGTGGTTTTTTGCCAAACAGCTCTCTGCAGAACATCTCATAAATACCTGAAGAGAGGAAAAACTTAATTCAATAAATGTAACATTTGTAGTTAAACTGTTACTCTCATAATAAAAAATAAAAAAAAACTTACATTTTCCATTGAACACAGCAATAAGCGGTTTGTACTTCTTTAACTTCTCCACAAGAATTTTGCCTCCTTCACGCAACTCCTTACTGAAGAAGAAAACAAATTCAGCATTTAAACAAAGCTATAAACGTCGACTGAACTATTTAAAGTCAGAATGTATGCATCCATTCCCATCATCGCTGCAGTCCACTGATGGGTCACATTGCCAACAGTACCTTGAGAGGTCTTTGCTCCCTGGTGTTGCTCTCGATACCATGTTGGTGAAGCCCATTTTGTACTTGACAGGCAGCGACGTGTCGTGCATGTGGTTGAGCTGCTCCTCTGTGAATCCAGATAGAAACAGGCATTTCCCTGTAATCAAAGGGGTTTCAAGTTATTTTGTTTTGCTCAAATAAATGGAATTCCTACTCCGTTTATATAAGAATTAAAGAAAGAAAAAAGCAATATAAAGGCCTGCAACTCAACAAAGGTATTGCGGGATCACACTGTACCAACACCGCCACCCCTCAGACTAAAAAAACAACAGCTGATGTAAAATTGAATTGAAAAACCTACAACCATAAAGACAATAATAAGAATATGTTGAATCGATTCAACGTTCACACAACGGTCGTTCTACTCGGCTCCCCTGTGCACCTCCCTCTCGGCTGTCACTCATCAGTGATCCTCCTGGATGCTCTCACTTAGAAATGGAAATGGTAAATGGACTGTACTTACTGTATATAGCGCCTTTCTATCTAATCAAGATACTCAAAGTACTTTACAGCACAACCTGTGCCCTCATTTACCTCCACACACACATTCATACATCACTCTATTACATCTCTACAAAGATAATCTGAATCTGTAGAGATTAACCAGAGCTTTATCACATTCATACACCGATGGGACACATCGGAGGCAGTGAGGGGTTCCGTGTCTTGCCCAGGGACACTTCAACATGTGACTGCTTGTGGATTTGAACCCCCAACTCTTGCATCGGAGGACAAACACTCCAACCACTCAACCATTGCTGCCCCAGTAACCAGCTCTCCCTGTCCAAACTGTGCTCAGCTTCTCATCCATTTGTCAGTTTCTTGTACGAGTTTTTACTCCTCCACGTTCTGTTCAAGTGTTTGGGGGAGTGGTGGTGCAGAGGTTGGAGAAGGTGAGCCTGTGATCGGAAGGTCGCCGGTTCAGCTCTCCGTACAGACATCAAATGTGGGTGGGAAATGTGAAGCACACACACCTGCCTCCACCCTCATTTTGCTCCACTCTGGGCCCTTGAGCAAGGCCCTTAACCCCCATCTGCTCCCCCGGGCGCCCTAGACGGCAGCTCTCTGCTCCACACAGAGGGCTGTGGTAGCTCGGTGGTCTGCGGTTGTGTCAGGAAGGGCATCCGGTGTAAAAACAGTTGCCAAGTCTTCGTGCGCTTTAGTTGAGATGCAAAGCGTCTTACCGCAGTACTTCTACTTTGAAAGATCGACAATGTGTTGAGCAGCCCGTTTCAAGCAGAACATCTCGTACGTCCATCTAAATAACTATATAACGCTAAACGGATAATAAAAAAAATTCCATATAATGCTTGAAATTTTTGAGTTCATAGAGTTGTATTAAAACGGTAGCAAACCACTTTCTTCTTGGCGTGCTCAGACTACCATACCACTTTATTTATAAAGCACTTAAAACAGCAACAAGGCCAACCAAAGTGCTGTACAGACAGAACAACAGGTAACACACAAAGCAAAATACAAAATGAGGTAAATCAGAATATAGACAAAAAACGATGCAGATAATGAGGACAAACCAGTGTGGAGCTTACAGGTTCAAAACACAGATCCTTTGGTGTTGAAAGCTATTGAATAGTAGTGAGTTTTTAAATGGGACTTGAAAACCGAGAGGGAGGGGGCCTGTCTGACAAGCAGAGGTAACTCGTTCCAAAGTCTTGGTCCTGCTACAGAGAAGGCCCTGTCACCTCTGCGCTTAAGACGAGTTCCTGGAACTGTGAGGAGCAACTGGTCCGCTGACCTCAGGGAGCGTGGTGGGACATATGGTTGTAGCAAATCAGAGAGATTGGGGGGGGGGGCGACACTGTTCAGTGATTTGGAGACATACAGGAGTATTTTGAACTGGATTCGAAAGTGAACCAGTAACCAGTGCAGTGAGGCCAAAACTGGTGTAATGTGCTCTCTTTTGCCTGTACTGGTTTAAATCGGGCTGCTGCATTCTGGACCAGTTGTAGTCGTGCAATGGAGGTCTGACTGATACCAAACAGGAGCGGTTAGTCAGTCCAGTTAAAATTAAACTTTTCCTCCAAACTGAAGCCATTCAAAGAACAACTGTAAGATAGTAACTGTTCAGAACATTTACACAAGACCCCATTTAAAAAAAAAAAATCTCACCTATCCTTTTAAACAGCCTTCTTTAAACAGTATACTTTACTGCACTTGGTTTACACCGCTATATTTCTTGACCTCTACATTTGAGCAGAAGCTATTTTTTACATTAAATAGCTCTAAACTATTCTTAGATCAGAACTTACAGAAATGATTTCCTGGACCTGGAAACCAGCGGCCGATAAAAGCTGCCATCAGTCCTGGATTGATACCAATCTGAAAATACACACAAATACTTTGTAAATTTGACCAAACCAAAGTCATTCTTTGTTTGGTGCTTTCTGACACGAATCATCGAACAACGGTCACTCTTACAATGACATAATCCAGGTTGTAATCCAGCAGGTCTGGTAAAGTCTTTTTCATGACTTCCTCCTCCGACATTCCTTTGAAGCGGTCCACTTTCCTTTTCACCTTCTTGAAGCTCTCATCAATCTTCTCCTGTTTTCCATCAGCCTGAGCACCTGCAGCCTTTTTGGGTTTCGGACCTGGTTTGGCTTTTGGCGCATTTGGGTCTTTGGGCGTTTTTGGTGCCTTGGCCACTTTTGGTGGTTTGGGTGCACCTGGTTCCTTGGGTTGTGCTGGTCTGCCACGCTTTTTAGCTGGGGCTGGAAGAAGAAGAAAAAGCCATGAAATAAATACATTTGAAATTAATTGCAGAATGTTATTGTTCCCTAAATGTGGGTTAACAGCTACTTTTATACCTTATAACAATCCTCCACTGGCTAAAAAAAAAAAAGTCCTTACAAACCAGAAAATGCTCTAAAATATATTAAACTAGCCAAACATCAATATGGTCATCAGTAACACAGATAAAGGTTTCTGTAAGCTTGTACTTAATTTAAAAAAACAATTTTTTTTTTAACTTTTTTATGAAACAGTACAATCCAGGGGTAACTGCAGATCTGCAGCTTATATGTTCAGTTCACACAAAGTACGAATTCAGAACAAACACTTGATATTTTATTCAAAAAGCACTGCAGTACGTTTAGTCAGGTTGGCATGTTCCATCAAATCCATTTTGGGTTCTGGGTTTGCCATGTGCTCGTTTGCTGCCTCTTCAATGTGATTCTCTGGGTAGTGAAACTGATGGTTTGGGTCACTGCTCGCGTATTGAGCCTGGAGAGCTTGAAACTGCTGGGCAGAGCGAACCCTGTAGTAGAAGAGTAATGATAATGAAATTTAGGGTTAATTACCAACACCACAAGCAAAATGACAAGAATGTGTTGTAGGATTTAAGCAGAATTTAGCTGGTACGTTCTGTTATGTATACACCTTTGTGTTTTAACTAATTTCAAAAATTTACTCCCAAGGTGATGAATGGATAATTCATTAAAAAAAAGGGAAACAACTGACTATTAAGTCTCATTACAATTTAAATCTCATGCATAATAGAATTTAATAAAATCTCAATATGCAATATTTGAATTCAAAAACCACCTCTTTTGAACCATGTAAACAATAGTAATACATAAAAAGGAAGTAATGGCTAAATTGTAAAAAGCTGGACTTTTTTTCAGTCAACAAATAATTAATGATCAAAACTATGCCTATAAAAGGACTAAGATCATCTTATGATGAGAATAAAAAAAAAATGAGTTAAAGTTGTTTTGAAACAGGGAACATGTGTGATCTCATTCTTGATCTCAGGAGATAAATTAGAGCTTGACGTATTTGTTGAGGATGACTCTCAGATACTACCACACCAATTCTAGCTCAGTATCTGTAAGCCTGTCTGAGTTTTAGCCATTTACGCGTTTGCTAATGTCAATTAAATGTGGTGGCCAATGTGAATTAGGGTGAATCTAAAGGTTAATCAGTTGGAAGTGTGCATCCAATGATTACTATAATTGAATTAAAATCCATTGAGTGGTTTGGAATATTTTGCTAACACAACAGACAGCAAACATGCACACACTCAGGCATTTAAGAAAACATATTTGACATTTTGCCTTTGGCAAAAGTCACTAAATATTATTGAGAGACGAATCAGACGCGTTGTTTTTTTCATAACACAGAGCAGACAGAACAAAGTGCACATCATCATCGATCTTGATTCACGACTGTGAGCACGAGAATGACGGTAGGAAAACAAAGACAAAAGAATAAACATGTGGACGTGCTTTCATTTCCATTCAGAGAGGTCTCAGATGGTCTTCTGGCCGAGCTGTGGTTAGGAAGAAGACTCACCACTGATGAAGATACTCCGGGGAGACGACAGGCAGTGATCCATTCAGCTTTTCGTCCATCTTTAAGCTGGTTTACCTTTAAGAAAACCAACATTCATGTTCAGGAAACACAGCTGATTGTTGAACACAAGGTAAAACTTATAAACTGGTGTATGAAAGTGAATGCATGTGCAAACGCTTTTTAAATCAAACTAAAATATGAAAAACATAAATAAGAACACAATTAGAGATTTTAAATGGCAATGACACGTTTAAAAAGAAAGCTGCACCACTAACCTCACAGAGACGTTTGCTTGCACCAGCTCTGTTTATTTTTCCACTTTCCTGCTAACAAACCGCTACAAGCTAATGGAAACAATCTGTGGCTATCAGCAACTGTTTTGAAAACACTGTTGCCAAAAAACAATAAAACTTTGCGTCATATTAAACACAGACAGCACACATTAATGGGGATAGGATGAACAGTACTCTATTAAAAGCTGTTCAGCGCCACAAATAAAGCCAGTGTTAGCCAACAGCTAACTTAGCGGGGCTGAATGGTTTACCTTCACTGCGATTTCCCCCGCTCAAAACAAAAATAATTTGGCTCGGTTTATGGAGCTCATCACACCTTTTAAGCATAAGGTTTAAATTAGTTTCTTCTCAAACGATATTTGAAGTTTTTCCATCTACTCTACACTTCGATTCACACGATTTGCGACGCTACAGAGGCAACAAAGACGTGACAACGGAGCCGGTCAACTTTGACACGGGAAGATCTCAAGTCACACTCACGGGGGGTGAAAATAGTTAAAAGTGTTTTAAAATTGTCTACAAGGCTGACGTATATCTCATAAATGTATACATAAAATATACTAAAGTTATATATTTTTAATAAAATTATGTTAAAATTTATGTTCAGTGTGTAATTTATGCAGTAAAATAACAAAAGAATTAAATGACACCCCTACGCTGATAATGGTACAAGCTCAGCTGCTTGTCTTTTTAAACGCCGCGAGCTTGTTTCCTATTGGTCGCTGGAGTATTTAAAGGGCAAGGTGGACAAACTTTGGCCACTTTCACAAAACACTTCCGCAAAATGTTGCCAAACACCAGTCTCCGTTTTTATGCAGCCTCTGGCGGTTCATAAATCACTGTTGGAGCCGGGGTTGAACCAAAAAGTGATGGTCTGACAAAAAAATGTTCAACCACCGCGTAGCACGCACAGCCAGTTGTGCTGTTTGAATGTTTCAAGATGGCTGCCACAGCCAACAAAAAAACAAACATATATTATGAATACATTGTTCAAGAGCTTTGCTTAAAACTTTATGGAGTTAACTTTTTGTTCTGTTAGCAAAATATCTCAAACCAGTAGCTGGGTTATCATTAAAGCTACTATCATTCACAGTTTTTTAGTTTAATTTTCTATTATGTTGTCCATCCATTCATTATTTACTGCTTCTTCCATTTTGGGTCACGGGGGTCACTGGTGCCCATGTCCAGCCATCGCTGTGCGAGAGGCGGGGGACACCCTGGACAGATCTCAAGCCCATCACAGGGACATAGACAAACGAGACAACCATTCGCTCTCTCTCTCACACCTGGGGACAATTTAGAATTACCAATCAGCCTAACATGCATGTTTTTGGTCTGTGGGAGGAAACCGGAGAACCCGGAGAAAACTCACGCATGCACGGACAGAACATGCAAACTCAACCCAGAAAGACCCCCGGCTGGGATTTGAACTGGGAACCTGCTCAGTGAGAGACGGCAGCTCTACCAACTGCACCACAGTGCCGCCCAGGTGTGGGACATTCCAGCAAGTTTATGATTATTTTTTGTGTATATTTCAAATACAAGACCGGATGTTTCTTGTTTAATGTTGTAAATACATTTTACCTGTCAAGTTTTCAAAGTATTATTTTTCTCCAAATGTCTTTCTAGCCATTTGTTACCAGTAAGCTGTTGAATCACTTCATCAAAACTGTGGATGTTTACAGTTTCTGCTAATAAAATTAAGAGATTAATGCTTCTTGGAGGGAAAATCCTTGAATTGAGGATGTACTCCTCTCCACTAGTTCAAAGAAATTACAAAGAAACTCTAAAATATATATTTTATAACTCTAAACAGTTTTACTCAATCATCTCTTAGATTATAAAACCCATATCTTAACACTGTCTTTATTAGTTAGTTATAAGACAAACTACACCATTTTTTTTAAGCCATATAGAAAAAAATAATAATTTCAAGTTACAAGACTGCTAAAAAGTAAAAAAAGATGGGCATAAAACTCCTGCTTTACCTTTAAATATATTAGAGAAGATGCTGTAAGCATATCACCTGAATGCTTTTACGTGCATTTTACATGTTATACATCATAATACAACTTGACGTTAATTAGCAAAAAAATTAAAATAAAACAATCAGACAATGTGGCTGCGTTAGAATCAATTTAATAAAGTCGTACAACAAAACGACTAACAGTCTTATCATTTTATACCTCACACTGATCATGAAACAGTTTTATCAAAATACAAAAACGTTACCAGGAAACACATTTAAAACACAATAAATAGTAATAAAAAACACATTTAGGTGTTTAAAATGCAATTGTGAGTTCTTGATTTCTTGTGCAGCTCAGGAGCAGCACAGCTCCTCTTCATATGTTCTCACCGTGGTTGAACTCCTGCTGCAGCAGTTCTGTGTCATGTCTTCTGCTGACTGGCCTGCAGAGTTCTGTGAATGAACACAACACTGTGCTAACATTTTTTAGGAACCGTTCACGAGTTAGTAATAACAACACCAGTAGTGCAGCTGATACACACCTTGATTTTCCTGAGCATCTACATGATGATACATTGTGACTGTTGCAGTTTATGTCGAGACAAATAAACGTTTATTTCTATTTAAAAACAACCAGAGCTGACTAAAGGCTCACTAAATTACAGATTTAGCATTTCTTGAAGGAATGCATATCGCCCGCCATCTCTCATGCCAGGGTTTTAGGCTAATCTGACGCTGAGAAATGATGGAAGCTGCATCGAATTTGTTCAAACCTCAAGAATAACATGATGCACATCCTCATGCAAGACGTTGCCCTCAGAATGTGTGCTGTCAATGACCATCAGCTACTATCACATCAAAGTTTAGCTCAATATCTACAATGACTGACTTACAGTTATTTTTGTGTTGGATAAGGTTGGTTAATTGTGGCGGCCATTGAGAGTGGGATTAACTCTCAACAGTTAATCAGCTGCAGATTCCATCCAGTGATAACTTTCTGCAAGTTTTGACCCAATTTGTCCAATGGTACATTAAATATTTTACTAACAGACACACACGTACACAGGACAACAGGCATTAACAATTACTTATGTAAGATGATGTTGTTTTCCTTTTAGCGAGCGAACTCTCCTGACGCAACCTGGGCTCAAACCTGCAGCCTCTGGATTACAAAGACCGCCACACTGACCACCGAGCCACCACAGCCCACAGTAAGTATTATACCGTAATTTCCAGACTATAAGCCGCTACTTTTTTCACACGCTTTGAACACCGCAGCTTATACACTGTGTGTTCTAGAATTGCGCCGCTCAAGGTGGCTGCATGTTGGAGCAGCTCTGTTACTTTCATTCTGAGATTTTGCTTTTGGAAACTTTAATTCCTCTTTTTCTGGATGTAAGTCACATTTTTTTGGATGATTGTTTCTTCTGGTATCAGACGCTGTGCAGCCGGAAGGATTTTTACTGAGACTTTTTTGGTTTTGGACATTTGTTATGATGCGTAACCATGGCAACAAGGCTGTTTTCTACAACCACAGCAGCTGATTAACATCTCAAAAGCTCAAATAATATCTCAACTATGGCCCCAACTCTCAAATGAGTTGAAAAGGATGTTATGTGGACGCATTCTCATCTACCTGCCAGCTGTGCTCGAGTGCTCGAGTACTGAGATCCTGGAACTAGCAGGAAACACGGCTCATGACAGCAGAAGGACAGGATCGTCCCTCGGCACCTACAGTTGTCTGTCCGCAGCGACGAGGAGCTCGGCAGACTGCTGGGAGGAGTGGCCATTGCTCTGGGAGGAGTTCTGCCCAGTATTCAGGCAGTCCTAAAGCCCGGGGGATCCAAGAGGCCAACCGAGTCTGGGTGGACGGATTGGACGGCATCTGCAGCCAGTTTCTTAGGATCCACTGTGGGATGGACCTTTACAAGAGATCCTTCCTGTCTACAGCATCAGCATCTATAACATCTCTTAATGAAATGAGGATAACGAGTTACAACAACTAATAATTTCCCTTTGGGATTAATAAAGTATTTTTGAATTGAATTGAATTGAATTTGAATTTATCATGCAAATAATTGATTTATTGTTTATTGCGACAGGCCTACTCAGTGAGAGTACCTGTAAAAATAAACATAAAAATCTGCCCAATGAAATTACCCAACAGGTCATTTCACTGACTTTGTTTCCACCCCTCCCTGTTGTGCCCCCAGGGAGGGAGGCGCAGTGCGCTGGAGGAAGATAATGATCAATGACTTCCTGGTAGGCTACTGTATTATTTTTTTTACCAGCCGTGTTGCAGGTATTGTTCAGAAAAAAACATTTTCTGTGTGTAATTATGTATGTTACGAGTACGTATTGTAGCATTCTGCTGAGGCTGACTGTTGGTCACATGACCTCAGGGAGGGATTATGGGTAGAAATTATGTTCATTGTTAATCATTTTGGTTAGCTGTTTGGCATTGTTTTGTTTTTTGTGTGTGATTACCTGTAGTCTGTTCGTGTTAGCCTAGTTTATGTTCATTATGTGTTAGTTTGTGTTGGGCCATTCAGTAGAGAAACCATGAGTGAGGGAGGTGGTTGTCATGAAGAATTGCGGGATTCACTCAGTCTGTGTGGGAACACTAAGATAAAGTTTATAAAACGTCACCTGGTGGTTGATTCTTGCTCTATAACAAGAGCTGCAGTTACAATGTGGACACCTGCAGCTTATAGACAAGTGTGGCCTATGTATGTACAAAAAAAAAAAAAACTTTTTAAATTTAGTGGGCGTGGCTTACCATTATATTCAGGTGCGTTCAATAGCCCAGAAATTATGATAAATAAATTGGTAAATCAGATTAGCTTCAAACAGGTTCTTAAAGTGGTCAAAATATGTTTTTTTATTATTAGAATTTTTGACAAAAACAGAAAAAAGCTTGTATTTGGAGCAAAGCTTTTTATCAGACCAACTTTGCATCGGATGAAGAGTTTTGCTCAATACGTCACCTTGTGCCAATAAATGAGCCAAACATTAAATACTGCAGGCTTTTTACTGTTCCATATGGTTTCCTGCATTAGGGTTGGGTACCTGCCTTCATTTTGATAGTGGATGTGTGTGTTTTTTTGTCCCAACAGATCAGTGTTATAAGATTTGCTTCTGTTACAAAAACAATTCTACGTTATAAAGTGTAGAACCACTAGACTGAGGAACAGCTTCTACCCTGAAGCTGTTAGACTCATGAATATCTAATCAGGATGTGAAAAATCACATCATGTTGCTGCTGATCTGTTTCATGTTGTTGTGTTCATTCGTGCTCATCTGCTCACGCAGACTCATGTTCGTGCTGCTGTTCGACGTGATGTTTTTATGCTATTAGTGTATATTTAGTTGATGTTTTTCTTAGTTCGTATCTTAGATCCTATTAGTTTTTCTTTTACATTTCATTGTTGGATGTAACTGGGACCCTGTGTACATAATTTCGTTCCACCACATGTACCACATGGGGTGCGAATGACAAATAAAGAACCTTGAACCTTATAATAACTAAAAGGAACTTTACTACCTGAGTGCATCTTCATCCTGTTCTTCTCTCCTCTGCCTCAGCTGTTTTGTCTCATTCCATCATGAAGCCCACTGCAGCTTTCATACTCAGGATCCACTTGCTCCTCCTTGATCGCCATCCTTTTTGCATCCTCTGCAGCACAAAGACATCAGCTGTGAGCCAGAAAATCATCTGTAAACACTACAAACGCCTGCTTACGTTTCAGAAAGCCCTAATGAACTGGTGCTCCTTTCAGCTGCGGTATATTAGCCAAAGGCGGCAGCATTTTGTACCTTTAGCTAGCTGCAGGTTGAACGAGTACTGCGTCTCCACCACCTCGTGGCTCGGAGCCACGCCCTTCATCTGGTCACGCACCTCCTTCAGCCTTATATAGAAGTGCACCTTATCCTGTGCGCGGGGAAACTGGGCGCAGCGGGGGCTTGATGATGGCATTAGGAAGCAAACCTAAAAAGTGGGATATGCAGCAGAAAGACTCTTGTCAAACATCTGGAGTGAATCTGAAGAACCACCAACTTCTTCTTCTACATACAGTTTGAGTTTCTGGGATTCTGTAGGGCTGCAGGCCAAACTCAAGATTCTTGGCTTTTACGCCAAAGATTTCTTTGCAAAAGATTTCATAAATACCTGAAACAAACAAACAAACAAATGTTACAGCTAGGCCTGTCACAAAAACAAAATTTTTTGCTGGGCGATTAATTGTCTCAGAAATTATTGCGATAAACGATAATATTGTTTGAAATTTGACCGTAATTAGTAATCACGGTCAAATTTAAGAAGAAATGTTGTTTTGAGTGTAGTACCTTTTTTCAACCACCGGATGGCAGTATAAGACTGAACCTAAGGATGGATAGTGAGGGAGCGAGCAGCGTGTCTCTTTAAGAAAAATGGGAGGGAGGCCCCTTGACTCTTCTTCCCATTTATCGGTTCTCAAAATGGTGGATGCTCAGTGTGGTTTGAGCTCTTAGCATAGCATTTTTCACACAAATTAATAAATCGGTAAACGAGTTCTCAGCTGCTTTTTGCAGAGAAAAACAACTTTTTACACGAAGGCACGGGTTTCAACCGTGAATTTTGGAGCTTCGACAAGACGGAGGTGTTTTCCCCGAGGTCGGCCTGTTAGCTTAGTAGCTTAGCTTTGCGGTTTAGTTGCTTTTAACGATCCAAAGACACGATTGTGGATCATTAAAATTATGAGATCATTTTCATTCATCGTGCGATTAATTGATTAGTTTATCGCGACAGGCCTAGTTGCAGCTGAACTAGTGTCTGCGACTTCAAGCAATTTAGTCATTTGAAAAAATGTTACCTTTGCCGTTAAAAGCTGCTATCAACGGCTTATATTTCTGGAGCTTTTCAAGTAACTGTCGACCTCCTTCACGAATTTCCTTACTGACAAAAAACAAAACAAACAAGTTGCAGCAGGATTTTAACATAAACTCTGTATTAGTGAGGTTGGAAAGTAGTTTCCAACTTAAAAGTAAGCACTCGCCGCCAACTGAACTACATTTAAATAAAATGACGTTAGCAAGTGTTTATCTCACTTAGAGAGGTCTTTGCTGCCAGGCGTGGTCCTTTCTACCATGTTAGTGAAGCCGATGCTGTATTTGTCCGGCAGGTTCTGGTCGTGCACGTAGCTCAGCTGCTGCTCAGTCAGACCAGACAGAAACAAACATTTCCCTAAAACACAGGAAAAAAAATCAGTAACTGAGCTTTAAATCCAACAAAAAGCTCTTGAACAAACAGGAAAAAAGCCTAAAGCCCTTGAAGGAACGCAAGTCACTCACCTCCTTTACTGTCAGCTACATCACCAATTATACCTCAATATTTGCAAAACGGACCCAGTTATGCCCTTTTTGTGATTTCTAAAGCTGTGGCTGCAGTTTTAGATGTATATCAATAATTACTTTTTGAGAGTTCCAGTAAAATTCTTCCACGGGTCCATGGGATGTTTTTTTTTTTTTCCCAAAATTTTTTATTTGCAGTTTTTATAAATAAAAATATTCCAAAAATCAAATTTGTATACAGTATTTGGTACAAATTGTTAACCAAAATCCAACACAACATAAAAAAGGAAATATATATATATACAAAGTGCCCTTACATTCTCTAAAGGTTTGAGCAGTTCAGAATCTGATCATCTTCTGTCTCCAAGTTTTTGATATATAAGATGAAGGGTCTCCAAACTGTTTCAAATTTGTCTTTTTTGCCCTTCAATATATAAGTAATCCTTTCAAGTGGAAGAGTTGATGTCATATGTCGTAGCCATTGATTTGCAGTTGGTCTGTGGGACTTCTTGCATGGGATGTTTTGCTTCAAAACAAACAAATGAACACGCACAAGCATCATCGCCTGCCTTTTACCTTTCAGCGACAGATGAGAACAGTTCCAACAAGATGTTTTCTGGTTGCTCACCATTATCTCAATGCTTATTGTTGCGCAACGTCTACACTGTTCCAGACTCGTACAATCGACGACACAACATGCTTCACTTTGTGTGAATGTTCATGAAGCATTCACTCTATTGTGAGCCATTTTTCTTCCGTACATTTTTCAGCACATTTCTCATCCCAGTTTTCAAGTTATTTCAACAAATCACGAATCAAAACGTTCGGCTCTTTCAGGACAATCCTGCGATGACTTCTGGTTTTGATGCAACTTTAGCTTTTTGAAATATTTAGCCTTTTCCGACATTTTATTTCTCGTAGAAAATGAACCGATTTCATTTTCCATCCTTCACATCTTTACATCCGTTTACAACCTTTTACTGCTCCTTTCACTTTTTGTTCTGCTTCAGCTGCTTTCAGCTTCCTTCTGCAAATTTAAACTTTTTCAGCTACTTTCAGCTGTTTTGTGTTCCTTTCAAATTCTTTCTGCTAACTACAACATTTTTGTGCTTCTTCTAACTTATTTCTGCTAATTCCAGCTTGTTGTGCCCCTTTTAGCTTATTTCTGCAAGTTTCAGCTTTTTCTGCTATTTCAGCTACTATTTAGCCATTTTGTGCTAATTTTAGCTTTTTCAGCTAATTCCACATTTTTTGCACTCGTTTAAACTTTTTACAGCCTAATTTAGCACAAATGTTCTCTCTCCACTCCCTTCTGGTAATTTAAGGCAGCACAACGGTGCAGTGGTTAGCAATGTTGCCTCACAGCAAGAAGGTCCTGGGTTCAATTCCCAGTTGGACCTGGGGTCTTTCGGTGTGGAGTTTGCATGTTGCGTGGGTTTTCTCCAGGTACTCCAGTTTCCTCCCACAGACCAAAGACATGCATGTTAGGCTGCCTTCAGGCCTCCCTTGCAAGAGATTAAGCTTCGTTCTGCCTTTTTAGTCACTATCAGCTGTTTTGTGCTAATTTCAGTATTTTTCAGATTATTTCCACTTTTTTGTGCACATTTCTGCTTCTTTCAACCTAATTGGGCAAACATGTTCTAAATTTCCAGCTAGATTTTTAGCATTTTTTTCTTTTTAGCTAATTTCATCTTTTTCTGATAAATTCAAGTTTTTCATGGTAATTTTTGCTACTTTCAGCCTAGTGAACTTCTTTATGCTAACTTCAGCTTGTTATGTTTTTTCACTTTTTTCCAACGAGTTTCAGCTTTATCTGATATTTCAGCTATGATTTACCTGTTTTATGCTAAATTTAGCTTTTTCAGCTTTCTACCTTTTTTAGCTTATTTCAGCTCTTTTCACTTCCTTCTAGTAGTTTAAGCTTCTTTCTACCTTTTCAGCTAAATTTCATCTATTTTTGCTAATTTCAGCCTTTTTTTTTGGCTAATTTCTTAATTTTTGTGCTATTTTCTGCTAATTTAAAACTAATTCAGCAAATATGTGTTCTTTCTGCTTTCTTCTGCTAATTTAGGCTAGTTCTTCATTTCAGCTACATTTCAGTATGTTTTTTTTAAGCTAATTTCAGCTGTTTTTCAGCAATATGCATTCAAACTGCATTTTCTCCGGTTCATATCTAAATGAAGGGAATATTCCTGAGCAAATACTTTTTATCATGAGTCTTCAAGCCTTCACTTGCAGAGGCCCAAGTTTAATTTTATAAAAGAGAACTAAGATATGGAGCAGGTTTGGCTAAAAACTGTTCCTACAACAAATGTTACAAAAATTATATAAGTTTCAAACAGTTTTTATGAAGTACTTGTTTCTATCTTTGTTTTGAGATATGTGTTAGCACTGTTTATGCATCGTTGATTGTGTTTAAATGATTATTAATAACCAATCAAAATATCCTTAATTTACTGCACTAAATTTTTAGGATTGATAAGTTTCATTCAAGCTCCTTGACGTTTGTCTCCCCCTGCGCTGTTTTTGTTTTATCTCAGTTGTCTCAGTTTCTTTTTTTGTGTGTATTTTATTGTGCAAGTAAAAGCTAAAATTGTTTTCCAGCTAAATTTTGATCATTGTAATTTAGAAGAATGAAATCTAAGATTTATTGGAAACTTAGAAGAATAAGAAGAAGTGAAAAGCTTTAAAAACCTGTTTGGTAAAACTAAAGCTGCTGATAAGTCAGTAAACATAAACACTGATGTGTCTTCTCTGTAGGTGTTAAACAGAATTTGAACCTACAGAAATGGTTTCCTGGGTTTGGGTAATGATGTCCTTTGAAAGCTGACAACAGTCCAGGATTAATTCCAATCTGAGGAGAAAGATTAAGGTGTTTTCATAAAAATGCAGTGGAAAAACATCATATTTATTCAGTCGCAACTCAAACCTGAAACTAAATCTTGCCTGAACTCACATTTTTAAATACAAAGGAACAGATCCCGTCATCTGTGATGAATAACTTACAATCAAAATGTCAAGGTTGTGTGTTATAACGTCAGGGAGGGTCTTGGCCATAACTTCGGCCTCCGACATGCCGTTGAAGCGGTTGAGAATCCTTTTAGCCTTTTTAGCAGCCTCAGCCTCATCTTCTGCCTTTGTCTCCTCATTCCCCATTTGTTGTTTAGGTCGACCTCTTTTCTTCTTCACCGATGTCAGAACTGCAACACAAAGAAGAAACAGGCTGAAATATAACTGAATATAAAGACCTAAATTTTAAAATCTAAGGTGAAGTCTCCAAACCTGTTACCAAACAAGAAGTGGAAAGTATCTTAAGTTAAAGTGGATTTTTTTTCACCTTGTTGGGGGACAGAAGACTGAACACTTAGCTCCTGTTGCTGGACTGAGTGTTGGTGCTGAGGCTGCAGCTGAACTGCAACATTCTGCTGGTAGGCCTGTTCCTGGTATTGATGGTCTGGAACTGGTGGGTAATTATAGTAAAAAGATTCTTGGTAAAGAGATGGGTCCATTTGGACAGATAGCCCAGACATGACTGGCTCTTCCCCTGGACCTTCAGTGTAAGGGCTCATGTAGTGATACTGCATCATATGTGAGTCCTCTGGCTGCTGCAAACTGGCCTGATACCTGGAAGAAAGAAGGAAGATGGAGATGAGAACAGAGAAGGCAAGAAAAAAAGACCATGAAGGGTTTGCAGATGGTACGAAAATGCATGTTACGTTAGGGGTAAATAGACTGCGTGAGAAAACACAACACACACATTTACATCGCCTATAAACACGTACAGTATGTGCATCACTTTGTTGTGCAAATGCTAAATAAGTCTCCTTGTTTTGAGCTTACAGAATCCATCTGGTGAAAAGTAAATATGGCAACATGTCAAAGCAAGGTGGGTAAGAAGTAAGAAGATTCTTCAACTTCATCTCACCAAAAGCAGAGTGCCCATCACCCTCCACCACTGTGATTGACAGTTAATGGCTTGCGTTGAAGTGCTGGGTTGATTTCACCACGTTTGCATTGTATTATAGTCAAACATTTTTATTTTGGATTTATAGCTATAAGGCTAAATTGTATAGGTCAGACATAAGTAATTACACTTAATACTTGTTTTCTCCACTATGCATGAAAATGAATGTAAAGAATAGATAAACTGGGCAATTCCCTTCCTGCACAACCTCCAGCATTATAATCTCACCTCCGACTAGTTCTCATGCATCTTAACTGCAGACACAAATGATAAACTCTACAGTCAAGTCTTTATTACAGGACATTACAGTTGACTATATTTACCCTCTTCCTGTAACTGACTTCGACGCAAAGCCAGAAGGCTGAACTAACCAGTTAATATTACTAAATTATTCAGTTGTATATTAGCGAAACAAAAGCGTATATATTAACATTTACCATACCTGTCGTACATTTTCTGCGAGGGTTTTTTAACAGGAAAACCTTGAAGTCCTAAAAAACAAAGGCCATCTGATTTAAATGTCTTCACATTATGTTCACTTATTATTTACTGCCACCTAGCGTTAAGGATGTTAACTGCAATAATCACTTTATCTTGTTTATTTTTTTTATGTTTTAAATTAGAAGGGGCGGGAATGGCGTAATGTATGGTCGGTAATTAATAATTAAAAGAAAATACGGTGTTTAGTAATGTAAACATGAAAAAACACGAGGTTACTGAATCAAAATACTACCCGTCCCTAGAAGGCACTAAATGATATTATTACGCATGCGCCAACACGAATTAATAACGTAGAAGAAGATTGCGGCTCAAAGATAGTTTGAGTCACAATCGTAATCACTCCCAATAAAAATAAACAAACAGAACACGCTCAAAATTTGTGAATTTGAATCCGAATCTTCTCATTCAGATAATGTAGATGTAGATTATTTTAGTAATCCTATCCGCGTTATATTGTGATGATATATGAGTGTTTCACAAAATACGTGTGTTTATACCCGTTGATATTTGCTGTGCTTTAGCTTTTGAATGTGTTGAGAGCATCACTGTATGGCACAACATGCGTGTTCAGGCCGTTTAAAAATAATTGGCAGAAAGGCACACTTGTTTTTAGTTTTCATTTGAGCCAAAAAAACTGGACCAGTAATACGTGTAAACATACTAACTAACATGTAACTGATGCGAAAACACAAAAGCGTGCAGAGTGAGACCTCTTACTCTTTTAAAATCAAACAGTATGACCTGCTCATGCGTCTCAATGACGGACACAGTGGTGCGCGGTGGTGGAAACCAGCTTCACATGCATGCCAATAACCCGCTGTTAATGTAACAAGCAAGGTAAGTTTTTTACAACCTTCACTTCAGGTCATTCTGTGTTTCTGTCTCAATTATGTCTGATTTTTAAAATTACATCGGGGCTAACTGTTCGCTATAACCCAGTGCACACAGGCAGCATAGTTTTATCTGCATTTCGTACATATTTACTCATCAGTACTAAATAATTATTTTACATTGCTCATAAACTGTGCAGTTTTGGAGGAACGATTAAATTACAGTTACAGCTAATGATATTTGTACTGTTCTTGAGAAAGTACAAAATAAATAAATAAATAGCTGAAAATGCATTTATGTTTGACAGACCGTCAAATAAAAGACTGACAGATGGAGTTAGTCATGAAAATGCATCAAATTGAGCTTTTAACCCACAAAATAGGGCAGCAGGGTTTCAAAGTTACAATGTTTTCATATCAATGGTCAGTGCAAGCTGCTGCCTTCCTTAGATAGATAACTTTACTAATTGGCTTTTATAATGTGAATGATTGTGTTCAGTGCCCTGAGGCAACCTGTTGTGAATTCACAACACAACAGTTTATTAATAAACTGAATTGAATAAGAAATGTTTAATAAACTGTATTATATTATTCTTGTTTAGCGTATATCTTAGTTCCTGGTTTCTTTTTTATATAGTTGTTTATAGTTTATATTTTGCTATTTTTTTGGGGGGTGTTTGAGTACACAGTTTCATTCCACCTCATGTACTACACGGGCTGCAAATGACAATAAAGTCACCTTGAACCTTGATTTATGTTTACATCAGACTATTATAAAGTGAAGAAATGGCTGTACGACGTATACGTTTTTCATGGGGGGGGGGAAATTGCAATATCTCAGTTTTCTGATATGTTTTTAATAATCGGCTACTGTTCAATCATGAAACTAGAAAAGATGACGCGTCAAGAGTTTTAACATATTTAGCCTCGGCAACATCTGGCAGGAGAAAGGATTGGAGTAGTGCTTGTATGTGATGTGTGTTCAAATCTTCTCCAGGTGTGGAGTCACATCAGTTTGTAAAGATGCCAGCCGGTGTGTCGTGGCCTCGATACATCAGGCTGTTCGGAGCCTGTATGCTGACCATGTTTGCAGGAGCACAGGTCGTCCACCAGTACTACCTACCTGATCTGGTGAGGGACAACGTGAACGTCTTTTAACTGTTTCTACACTTAAAACAGGAACAAGAACCACTTAAAACGTCTTCAAAATGGCGTCATAAAAATAAAGCTTTGAAGACTAACCGGTAATGTTACATGTCTGAAAATATTTTAATAATTAGATCAAATTTAGCTTTGTTGATGTATAGCTAACTATAAAAAATAAAATAAAACTTAGTCCATCTACAATTTTAATGTTTCATAAATTGTTGAAGTGTGCTTTTTTCCATTTTTTTTTTTTTTATTTCAGAGTATCCCAGAAGTTCCACCAAAGCCTGGAGAGCTTCAGACAGAACTACAGGGCTACAGAGTCAGAGAAGAAGCGGTTGCGGCCTTAAAGACGTTTAAAAATGGAGGAAATGCGGACTGATGATTTTTGCGATTTGCTATGGAAACCTACACTTACATGCTGCAATGCATTTTGGGACATTATAGTCTGCAATGGATGCTTTTATTTTTGTTTCTTCTTTTACTAAAGAAAAAGGCAAAATTGAACAAAAAAAAAACAAACATTTATTTTTTCTGGTTATCCAAGATAAGGATCCTATCAATCAACTGATTGCTGTGTGTACATCTTCATTATTTTTTTATGTATTTGTATGAGAAACAATGAAAATGTCATGTGATACTAAAATAATACGCTTTATAAATACAAGTGTTCCCCTGTTTGAATAATTAAAGTGGTGGATGCTTCAACTAGACATGGTAAATGGACTGTGCTTATAGAGCGCCTTTCTATCTTATCAAGATACTTAAAGCACTTTACATGCTTTGACCTCTGTGCCCTCATTTACCCATTCATACAGCACGCTACTATATCTATAAAAAGATTAATCAGTGCTTTATCGCATTCATACACCGATGAGACACACATCTTATGCTATGAGGGGTTCAGTGTCTTGCCCAGGGACACTTTGGCATGTGACTGCTGGTGGAATCGAACCCCCAACTCATGCATTGGAGGACTGCGCTAACCACTCAGCCACAGTAGCACTTTTTTATTTTTTGTAGTAAAGGTTTTTGTTGTTCAAATTAATTGTAAAACATTTGAGCTTTACAAATAAATGAGTGTCCTCCTTTATTAGAATTTGTTTAAAAAAAAAGTAAATTTGTATTCTACAATTCCATTTAGAATGTGTTTCACCTTCAATTTCACTAGAAGGTGAAACACATTTTTTAAAAGATAAATAACTGCAGAATTTTGTGATTCGTTGTCGATAATTAGCAAGTTCTTTGAAAACTGGTTTACACCGAGACATCATTATTTACATCATTTATCAAAATGGAAACATCTTGAGTCTTTATAAGTAGAAAGATGCTTTATTAATCCCAGGGGAGAAGTCGTGCATTTATTTCCTCCGTGTTGTTTCACTGTGAATGAGATGCGTTTGCCTTTGGATGTATTTGATAAAAATCATTTAAAAAAACACGAAATGCATTTGAAATAAATTGGACATTTTAGTGTGTCTGAACGAGCGCTGTTCTAAATGTTATTAATTCTTCTGGACTTGACGTCGGAGCTGTAAATTTAAAAGTCAGACTGCGCATGCGCCCGTCCCGGTGTCATGGCAACAACAAGCAGCGCAAAAGATGGCGAGCCAGAGGGAGAACGACGCCGCAGAGTATCTCGACAAACACAAGATTATCGATCTAATGGACAACCTGAGCAGCATGCTTTTGTTTTACAGACCTGGTCAGAGCTCATTCTGTTCCTGAATATAAATTATTCTGCTATTTTGTGAATTACGAAAAGTTTTGCCTTACGTTCACGTGACACCGCTAATCGTTTGGTCGATTTTAAACAGTTTTGCTTGGGTGTTAAATCCTCTTTATTTTAATTAAAATTGCATTGCGTTGCAGCAAAAAACTAAAATAAACCTTTAAAACTTTATTCTTTTCTGTTCTGTGATAAAGGTAGGTTTACTCTCCAAACGAGAAAATTGTTGTATTTTTTTTTTTTTTTCTGTTCAACATAAATGTATAAAAAAGTTAAGTCTGGTCCTCTGGACATTCAAAAAACTAAACCAAACAACAACAAAAAAAATTGTTGAAACGTTTCGTATTTCATCCAATGAAAGACGAAACGTTTCTACAATTTTTTTTTTTTTTTTACTTAACTTTTTTAGATTTTTCTACCTGGATTATTGAGCATGCATTTAGATAACCTAAATGTCATTTAGAGTCCTAATAATTGTTTCTTTTTAAAATCACTAACTCTCCTGTACTTAATTCTTTGATTCTGGTTGTGCCACTCAGATAATCCCAAAGAGTTTCTTATTGAGCAGCTGGAGTTGTTGAAGATGTGTCAGCAGAGCGGTGTAAAAGGACCGAATCTGTTCAGCATCTCCAACATGGATGCAGTGTTTGGGATAATGGACCCTGCTAATCAAAAGTATATAACCTTTGCACAGTACAAGCATGGTGAGTGCTGCAGGTCACATCGTCCATGTGCAGAGTCAATGACAAATAAACAAAGAGGGTTTAATGTAAATCCACATTTTCCATGCCTATTCATGTCTTGGTGCTTATTCAGCTGCATGGAGAAACTTGTTCATATGTGTGAGGTAAACGATTGCTTCACTGCTGCTTTTTCCTAAAGCTTAACTACCAGTACTTTCTTGTGTTTTTATTGATTATTGCTGCAGACCTCTGTTCAGAACTCCATATTAACACTGTATTTGAGATCAAATGATTGTGATTATTCTTCATTCACAAAGTTATTTGATAGGTTTTATGACCCATATTATATATAATATTTTATATAGTATTTTTCCACCAGGTCTATATGTTTACAGGTTTGACCTGAACATCCAGGTAACCTCAACATTATTAGTGCACCGTAACAGTTTTGATTATCTTCTCAAACGATTAGTTTGTGCATCATACAGTAGGGTAATAAATTGTAATGCTGTCATAGGATTGATACTTGAAAAATAAAACAGTGAGAACTAACAAAGTGACTTACTGGCCTATTTATCCCAACAGCTCTGACCATGCTTGGCATAAAGAATATTAATGAATGTCCCGAGGGAGTAAATGAAGACAGAATATCCCATGAGACATTCAGAACAGAAGCGTAAGAGCATCTTGTAAGGTTGAATTAGTATATACAGTTACATTTATCACTTTTTGAAGATGATTTCATTTTGCTTTTTTAGGATGGAAGGCCTGGAGAGAACTTCAGCAACATATGCACAACTGTGAACCTCAACTTTTTTTGTTGTTTTTCCACATGTAAAAGCTACAACATGTTTTGGTGTTTTGCACACTTTTCATTTGAACATTTCAATTAAAGTTTAAATGAAACTTTCAATGAAAACTCAATCTGCACTGTGATTCTTAGTAAAGTTAGAAAATTATAACAGTGACATTAATCCCTGCTATAACGTTGCATATCATACTAGTTCTGATTTAAAAAAAAATCAGTTTTTATGATGAAATAACATTACAGAAAAATAATACATACAGTTTGCAATTTATGGGGGTCAAATTGAATGAGAAAGCAGGTTTTTACAGGACAGCATAGAAATAAACATTAGCAAATGGGATATAAAGTTAGAGACAGTCCCAGTTACAGTCCACAATCATTCCATAACTCTCTTGTAAATGAGTCCTCGAGGCTCAATGGGATTAACCTTCATAGGTTGAATGAATTCCAGTTCAACTTTGGCATGCAAAAGAAAATAATTATTCTTCTGCTGTGAATAATGCATACTCCACACACTGTGTGCAGTTATGAAAAACCATCTTAAATTTCTACCTTTAAAGAATAAACAGAAAACGACAAAGTGAGAACTTGAAAGTTTGTTTGCTATCAACAAAGACTGTCAAACATCAAAAACTACGGACTATAGAGAAACAAATATTCTGTGTGTAAATGTTGCGTGGAGGCTGAGTGCTGAAATAACTGCTGAAATTATTATGTTGAAAGAAGCTAACAGGTAAAAAATAAAAATAAATAAGCAGAACATTAACTAAAAGCTAAATGTATAAACTAGCCGAAGCAGCAAAGTGGCAGCTAAAAGTAGCAAAAGCTTAGGGGAAAATATAGCTAAATGCCTGCTGAAAGTTTCTAAACACTTGCCAAAATAAAAAATCAACTAAAATTAGCAAAAGTACTAGAATTGTAGCTACAAAACTGAATTAGTATAAAAAGACAAAAACAGAGCAATTATACTGAGGACAATTTTAAAGGAAGTAAAGTTTTTGAAACAACAGTTAATAAAGTCAAAGCACCCAACATGTAACACATTGAGTGTATAAACTGCTAACATTTCGGAAGCGTATAAAAAGACACAAAGGTCCAAAATAAAAAGCAAAACACATTGACATCATTGGAATTGGATATTTATTTTTATTTCAAAGTGCTGAATTTACCATGCGTACTTGAAGTACTCATCGGAACGCGAACCAGCAGAGGGCGTGACCAGGAAGTGACGTCACCGCCCCCTCCTTATACGGAGGCACGGTCCTTGCCGCTCTTCGGGCGCTTGGAGGTTAAACTAGCTTGTCGTTTTCCGAGCAAACTTCGGGAACTTCTCGTGGTGACAGCGCCCTGCGGAGCTCAGCATGGGCACCGTCCATGCCAGGGTAAGAACGCTGCCCGAAGAGTTAGCTGTGGTGACTTTGACCTCTCTGGGCTCCGTGTGGACGGTGGCAGAGTTAAATGACAGGACGGCGACGAAAGGCCCGACGAGAATGTGTTCGTTCATGAACATGCTCAGACATTCAGCCATCAAACTAATGTTGCGGTTACTGAAGTGAACGAACATGAAGTCTTCATGCTCATAATGACTAATGTAGAGTCTTCCTTCACGGTACCTGGCTCACACAGGTTGTACCCACCACACCGAATGTATGACTAAAACTTAATGTACTTTAGTTTGTGCTTTATTTTTCAAAACTTGGTGAATTTGAACCAATACGTACTTTGGTATATGCACACGTTGAATACCTTCCTTTTCTCTCCCAGCATAACTCCCCCATGTCAGCAATGTGTCATTGTGCTTGGCTCTGGTTTTGAGTGTGTTCTTCAGCCAGATGGTCCAGTGTTGTAGTCTGGCCAAGAACTACATCTAATTTCATTCAACATCTTGTTCAGGCAAACACTACTTGCAATTCTAATCTAGTGTTTTTCACATTTTGTTTTTGTAGAGCCTCGACCCTCTGCCCATGCGCGGGCCAGAGTTGGGAATTCAAGCCGATGACATTGAAGCGTTGGAGATTGAGCCGGAGCCCAAGCAAGAAGTTCTTGAAAACAAAGACGTGAGAATGACGGACACACTCTCACTATGACTGCGTTCTTAAGGCTTCCACGGGTCCGCGCGGAAACTGTGCGCTCTGTCCGCAGACGGTTGAGACTTCGTACTCGAGCGTACACCCTGATGGGCTGCAGTCAGATCCGCAGGCGAGGGGCGTTTACCTTCAGGACAAATTGAATTTGCTGACACGCCTACTGGATTGATTGACAGGTCGCTAAAAAAACAAAACGAGAGGTGGCAGCGATGTTCTGTGTTTGTTTGTTGTTAATAGAAAGTTCTAAAAAATATTTAAAAAAAAACAGGGAGCGCTGGCCCTGCAGCCCACACATCAGACCAGCCCACCAGAAAATCTCCTGACGCTCCCGCAGCCCTGGTTTTATTCTCTCGTAACAAATTCCTTCATTTCTCACCATTTCAGTCATGGCGTCAACGGACGAGGAAGAAGGGCGTGCTCGCCTCTTGGAAAGAAAAACAAAAGAAAAGGCCAGATCAGGGATGAAGAAGGGGAATTGAATACATCGTACGTCGCATACAAAACAGTCCGTCACCGGGCAGTTTATTGTGCCACACCAATTACGCAGTCGTAAAAATCGTTCGTTGCACGGGCATGCCCTGCGGGCGTCTGCTTCGAGACTAATCCGGTATGTGCACGGAGGTCCGCCCGACTATGTGGGAGCCTTTAGAAATCATGCGAGCCGCAATCGTTTTTATTCATGACTCCCTCACAGTTGTTTTTATGGTTTAAATGCTCGTTGTATTTCCTTTTAGGTTGTTGTTCAACAAGTTCACATAGATGGACTCGGGAGAACTAAGGAAGACTTTCTGACTTATGAAATTGCAGAAGTTTTCCGGGCAAAAAGCTTGATTGATGTAAGTACATGCTAATTAGACTACTTTTTAATGCCGTCTCAATGTGAACTTGTTTGTACCGTGACTTGCATTAACACTTTTTCCACTTTATTATGCAGGTGATGCGAAAGTCCCACGAAGCTCGTCAGAGGCTGCTGCGTCTCGGTATCTTCAGAAGGGTTGAAGTCGTTATCGACACATGTCGAGGTACATGTACAGGAAAATACCTCTGTGAGAAGATTTGTTTATACATCAGCTTTGTTCACAACTTCATTGCTTGTTTTGTGTCCGTGTGTGTTTTCTTGTGTCTGAAGGTGAAGACGCTCTTCCCAACGGGCTTGACGTGACGTTTGAGGTCACTGAGCTGAGACGTTTGACGGGCAACTACAACACTATGGTTGGAAACAACGAAGGAAGCATGGTTAGTGCTTTCAAGGGTTCGTTCCTTGAATGTGCTGTTTTCTTGACATTTTCTCAATAAATAAAACCTTTTTAATTCAGTTTATTCATATAGCGTTATTCGCGCCAAAAGTCATCTCGGGGCACTCTGCAAAAATGGAACAATCCCATTAAATTACTGCACATGCAGTTAATCTTGAAAAGTCTAGATTCAAGTTTATAATTACATATTACCATGAAATTCATCCATCCATCCATTTTCTTTACCCGTTTATTCCATTTTGGGTCACGGGGGTCGCTGGTGCCCATGTCCAACAATCACTGTGCGAGGGGCGGGGTACACCCTGGACGGGTCGCAAGTCCATCACAGGGCCACATAGAGACAAACAACCATTCACTTTCTCACTCACACCTAGGGACAATTTAGAGTTACCAATCAGCCTAACATGCATGTTTTTGGTCTGTGGGAGGAAACCGGAGTACCCGGAGAAAACCCACGCATGCACGGAGAGAACATGCAAACTCCACCCAGAAAGGCCCCCGGACCGGGGTTTGAACCAGGGACCTGCTCGCTGAGAGGCAGCAGCTCTACCAGTTGCGCCACCATGCTGCCATGAAATTCAATATATTACAAACTATAGGCAAACCAACAGATCATGTCGATCTGACAAAATTGTCATAAAACCCTCGAGCTCTGTTGCTCGTTCGTCTACCATTAAAAATTTAAAAGTTAAACTCCCTAAACATGACAAATGAAAAACTGGTACTTGAGTTTAACAGTCTGTTTAGTATTTTTCTCAAGCAGCTGTCCCCCTCGGTTCAGTACAGTAGATTTATGTTGCACAGCTGAAACTTTTATATTTTTTTTCTACTGTTCGTTTCTCATCCCGGGTGCTCTTGATGCTGGTGTCCATTTCCAACAATCTTTTCATTAATTAACTGTGCGCTCGGACTCTAATTGTGCTGAACACAATTTATCTGTAAGGTCCAGAGACCTCATGTACCAAGACTTGCATGGATATTGTTTTCTCCATTTAATATTTTTCTTTCAAGAAGTGTTTTACAAGTTTTATGTTTAACAAAAATACATTTTGCATTTGATATGCTCATTTCCTCTGGTTTCTGCTTAAACTTTATTTTAGGTTCTTGGTCTGAAGTCACCCAATGTGTTTGGTCGAGCAGAAAAACTGACATTCCAGTTCTCTTATGGCACCAAAGAAACATCCTACGGTCTTTCCTTCTTTAAACCTCAACCAGGACACTTTGAACGCAAGTAAGTTTTAAACCGGTTCATAAAACTAAGCTGAGGTTAAAACACTTGTCTTGAAGAGCCATGACCCTGATAGGAACGCTGTAGAAAATCTTTTATTATGAGTGAATTGAAAAGTACTTTTCTTGGTTGTCATACCATAAATGAGTGTTTCTGTTTACAGAGGGGATGTTTTATTTTTAATTTTAATGATGATCATTTTACCGCTCTCACGAATTTAAGTGCTTTATTGGACGTACATCATAACGCAACAAACTTGTACTATATTGAAGGAGTGCCATTTTTAAAGCAGTTTATGGATCTATCAAAGCAAGGTCCTCTCTTTTCACTTGCAGTGTGTCCGTCAACGTGTACAAAGTAGCAGGTCAGTTTCCATGGAGCTCGCTGAGGGAGACGGATCGAGGCGTCTCTACAGAACTGAGCGTAAGCACTTCGTGTTTTAATTATTTTCTTCTTTTGGTGCAGTTAAGAATAATGTTTGTAAGGAAAATGCCATTTTCTTGTTTGCTTGTGGTCGAAGTGAACCGACAATTTTGTCTTTGTTTTTACTGTAAATTAAAATCATGATAAAGACTCTCAAGAGGAGGGATCAAAATATTCTGTTATGCAACATAATGACTATCTAACCTAGAGTTTGTAGGAAATGTTTTTTGTCAATGTGATTAAACTTTATAATGGAAGAAACATTGTTCTTCCTGTGTGGTAAAGGAACAACCGTCTGCTGTATGCTAACGTACGGCGTGTGATCGGCAATAAAACAAAAATCAAAACATTGTTTTGTGTTAAACAGTTCCCTTTGTGGAAGACCAACCAAACCCTGAAGTGGGAAGGCGTGTGGAGAGAACTGGGCTGCCTGGGGAACACGGCCTCTTTTGCCATTCGTCAGGAGAGCGGCCATTCCCTCAAATCCTCCCTTTCGGTATTTGTCCTTTTGTTTATGCTCAATTTTACTGTGAGGCTCAAAACTGTTGTGCAGTTTTATAAAAGCCTCTGTCAGAAGGTTTTCAGTGCCCGGTTTAACTATTTTTTTGCTCAACAATTTCCAGTAAAATGTCTTTGTGGCAAGTGGCATATTTGAAACGTCAAGACGAACGTTGAAAGAAGTTTCAAAAGACACCTATTAAAAAAAATAAACCAATACAGTTTTGACTGGTGTGCGTGTTGTTTTTCAGCATGCTATGGTCATTGACACCAGGAACTCCTCCATCTTTCCCAGGAGAGGTGGATTATTGAAGATCCATCAGGTTTTTTTTTTTTTTTTTAAATAAGGCACCTTTTCAAACACTGCATAAAAAAAAAATGCTTGAATTATTATTAATTATTATTATTTATCGGATTTGTTTTTACCCATTAATGTTTGTTTTTGTAGGAACTTGCTGGTTACACTGGGGGTGATGCCAGTTTCCTGAAAGAGGACTTTGAGATCCAGCTCAACAAAACTCTCGTCTGGGACTCTGTAAGGATTAGTATTTAACATCTCACCCATTTATCAAACTGAGCCATTTAAAAAAAATAAGACCATTTTAAGTCTGATACTGAGCCAGTAGCGTGGTTTGAGGACATTAAATTATTAACATTAACTTTAGTCACACATAAGTACACAACCACATGCACACAGAGCCACATCACACTCCAGTCCCCTCTCCATGTAGTTTATATCTTGTCAGGTATGTTTGTCCATTTTTCCTCACCAGCTTAGAACAACCAAGGGTGCACATTTGGGTGAAAACACACATTAAAAACATTACTATTATAAAATTACTTGTTGCTGTTGCATCTGCTCCCCTCGTTGCACGGCAAAAGCTGGTGGACGATTGATTTTCACTAAATAAATGTTTCCTCAGTCATGTGACTTTAAATTATTATTTTTTTGCATTGTTGTTGGATTAATTGGGATTTGTGAGTGAGAATGAACTTATAGTTGCATTTGTTTAAATTATGGTTAAACCAAGTATACTTGAAAGAACTGTTCAGCCTAGTGGGAGGAGCTAAAGATTAACTGCCTGACAATGAGCCGGCAGAGAGAGAAGGTGGTTACAGAGTGTGGGAATTATTGTATCAAACTTGCAATGAAGGCAAGTGTTTTACCCTTTTGGAAGACGAAATAAATACGGGGGATGATCTGAAGATATGCCAGAGAACACTTTCATTCAGCTTCAAGAAAGTGCTTGTGTGGTAAAGAACCCCGTGACATTTAAATGCAACTATTGTTAAAGAACGTCGTAATTGTGTAATGCCGTGTACACAAGACACACTAATATTTGTCACAAAGCAAACCATTTTTGTCTGTCACTAAGGATTCTAAGCACAAGTCCAAATTATTACGATCTTGTTTCTTTTCAGGTCCTGTCTGCGTCATTGTGGGGAGGCCTGCTTTTACCCATTGGTGACAAATCAACTTCTATAGCAGACAGGTACAGAGACATGTGACATTTGGACAAATCGTTTATGCCACTCGGTAAAACGGATTTCCGACAAACTTAAGACGGTGTTTGTACAAGTTTTGTATTAGAAAATGAAAGGCGCACGCTTTTATACGTATGTTTATATCATGTGGACGGAGGATGGATTCAGTTGACGTCAATGATGCTTCAGCGACAGATTCTCTTGATCTGAATCTCAAGTCAGAATTACTTAATCCTTGTTACTTTAAAAAAGTATTTATCACCTTCTGCTAAAAGGAGAAAGTGAAGAAAATTGGAAGTACCTCTACAACAGAATGACTATTGGCGTTGACCACATTCAAGATGGCTGCCACAGCTGTCACTGTTGTGCTACTGATAGCCGCTATTTACTGTCGTACAAGTTTTGGCCTAACTCGCATCGTACTTTAGTTTTCTTTAATCTACAAATACAGTTTGAATAAAGAATACTTCTGCCTAGTGTACAAAAGGTGATTTGCACACAAAAAAACAACCTTCAAGCATGAACTTACTGACTATAAATTCATAGTTGACAACATGGTCTTTCATCATTTTTTAATTGTATGGCTCACCGAATATTTGCAGTCACAAAAATTGCACATGAAGGTAGAAATGATAGAAGCCTAATTATTCTGTCTTTGACCTTTTTATAGGTTCTACCTTGGTGGGCCCACCAGTATCAGGGGATTCAGTATGTACAGTATGGGTCCACAAAGTGACGGTAAGCTGTGACCTTCAGCAAGCTGCTCAGGGATCTGCCTGGATTTGGGTGTTTTCTGGGAAGACCTTCACGTTGATTATATTGTCATGACAGGAGATTACCTGGGAGGTGAGGCTTACTGGGCTGGAGGTCTCCACCTCTACACACCTCTACCCTTTAGACCAGGCAGGGGAGGCTTTGGTGACCTCTTCAGAACCCACTTCTTCCTCAATGCCGGAAATCTTTGCAACCTCAACTATGGTGAGCAGTTGTGAACAGAAAGATGCCACTTAGAGCTTTTATTGCTGTTTTACTGATGCACCATAAAGCTGCTGTGGATGAGTGGTTAGAGGGGTCGTCCTCCAATGGGAGAGTTGGGGGTTTGATTTCACCAGCAGTCACATGTTGAAGTGTCCCTGGGCAAGACAGTGAAACCCTCATTGCATCCGATGTGTGTCCTATCGGTGTATGAACGTGATCTTAAAGCACTTTAGTCTCTATAGAAGGATTTGTACTACCGGTATTATCTTTGTGGAGATGTAGTAGAGTGCTGTATGATTGTGTGTGTGTGTGTGTGTGTGGAGGTAAATGAGGGCACAGATTGTGTTGTAAAGCACTTTGAGTATCTTGATTAGATAGAAAGGTGTTATACAAGTACAGTTCATTTACCATTTTATTTACATAAATTACTCAAATCTAATATGTGGAACAGGTCAGTCTGACTTTTATTGTTTAATTTAATCTCACTTTACTGTGTCGGGTCCTCCTTTCTGACGTGTTTGTTTTAACTCAGGTGAAGGACCTCAAGCACATTTGAAGAAACTTGCAGAATGCATCCGCTGGTCGTATGGACTGGGCATTGTGCTGCGTTTGGGGAACATTGCCAGGCTGGAACTGAACTACTGCATTCCCATGGGAGTCCAGAATGGAGACAGGTACAAATCTAACATTATGGATTTTAAGGGGGGGGGGGGGGGGGGGTGTCAGAAAGAATGACAAACTATGGAACTAGCTCTACTAAATCCAAATGTCACATTAACATGGATGGAATATTAAAAACTTGTGAGGTCATAAAAAATAATAAAGTATTATGATTAAAGCTAATATAATTTGAATTGCACTTTTTATTATTAGGCAGGATAGAGAGGAGCTGCGGTAGTTTGGTGATCGGTGTTGCGGTCTTGTAATCCTGAGGCTGCAGGTTTGAACCCAGGTTGCGTCAGGAAGGGCATCCGGCATAAATCAGTTGCCAAATCTTTGCAAGTTTTCTCACTGTGGCGACTTCTGCAGAAGAAAAGGGTTGAAAGCAAAACGACAGTTCTTAGACTAGTCAGAGTGCTAGTCAAAATGTTTAATCTACTGATTCAAACCAAACTGATAGATGTTTGCAAACTTTTGACAAGTACCTTTATTTTAATATGATTTTAATGGTATATGTTGATTCTTTGCTTGATTTGATTTAATTTTTGTAAATATTGCCTCCTTTCCTTTCAGGATATGTGATGGTTTCCAGTTTGGAGCAGGAATCCGATTCTTGTGAAGCCACATCATTTTATTTTATTGGAAGAGGATATTTGATTGTACAGAATTGTTGTCAGAAAACTTGGTTCAATAAAAGTGCTTTACCTGGCTTTCTATTGTATTGCTTCTTTTTTTTAGTGTTTGTTGTGAAATGTTGGTTTAGTGCTTTCACAAGGTAAAGTTATTAGACAGCACAGGAAAATATTTTCATTTATGCTGACGATACTCAATAAAATCTTTTATTCTTCATTAAAACTAAATAACTCGATCAATTAATTAGATTGCAAGCATATCTTAAAGACATAAAAACCTGAATGACACTTTAATTTTCTGCTCTGAAACTCTAGCTAGCACGTGTCTGTGGTGTGATTGTTTAGTTTATGTTCTTGGTTTTAATTTTCTACATCGCCTTACAGCCTGGCTCTTTTTTTTTTTTTTTTTTACATTTTCTTTTAAATTCCATTTTATTTTCACTTGTTAAAAAAAATCTCAATTTGTACTCATCCTTTATGATTGTCTATTGTTGTCTACTGTTGTCATCACTCTGTTAAAATCAGGTCTCTCTTGTAAGGTTCAAGGTTCTTTGTCATACACGCCACGTGGTACATGAGGTGGAATGAGATTGTGTACACAGGGTCCCAGTTACATCCAACAAAAGTACAAAACGTACAAGAAAAACGGTAATAAGATCTAAGATATGAACTAAGAAAAACATTAAAAAATATGCTAAGCACTATAGTATAAAAACAATACGCCAAACAGCAGCACGGACATGAGTCTGTGAGCAGATGAGCACGCATGATCACATCAACATGAAACAGATCAGCAGCTAAATGAAACGGATCAGCAGCAACATGATGTTATTTTTCACAGTGATTATTCTGGTTAGAGATTCATGAGTAACGGCCTCAGGGTAGAAGCTGTTCCTCAGTCTAGTGGTTCTACACTTAATGCTCCTCAACCTCCTTCCTGAGGGGAGCAGGGCAAAAAGTGTGTATGCTGGGTGAGTGGGGTCCTTCATGATGCAGGTGTATGGGATCAGATTTAAGCAAAAAGGTCCACAAGCATGTTATGCTCCACGCGCACACATTAAATCCACCACGCACGTATATTACACTTCACGCACGCATTGAACCTCCCGTGCGAGCACAGTTCAGTGACCACGAGTTTCAGCTGCCTGTGCTCTCGGTGTATCAGTCTGCTCGCTCGTTGATCTACTGCTGCACGCTTGTATGAAACATTGGGACCAAGTGTAGAAAAAAAAGGATGGAAATGTTAACCTTCATATGATTGGTCACTTAATGTGCGCGCATGGAGCATAACACGTGCTCGTGGTAGCCCTTTTGGCATAAATCTGATCCCGTAGTCTGGGTTTCTCCTTTTCACCTGATGGCTGGCTGTGTTTGGGTTTCTTCTCTGCTTTCAGGAAGGTCCAGTTAGGATATTCACATTGCTCCAGGGCCTGATCTTGTGTGGGATTTCTCCTTTTCAGATGTTATTGCAAGTATCACTCAGCATGAGTGAATAGCAAGCAGCCACCACTAATGATTGGTTGTTAGGCTGATGTTCCTCACTTTGCATGTGAACTAGTTTTGGCTGTCACCAACAGACTGGTTGACCCACTATGAGAAGGTGAATTTAAAAAAAGTTCAAGACAAAAAACAACTAGACTATTTGTAACAGAAGACGTTTCGCTTCTCATCCGAGGAGCTTTCAAGAAGCGGAACATCTTCTGTTACAAGTCCAGTTGTTTTTTGTCTTGAACATTTTTGTCCTGAGAATCTTCACCAGCCTATGAGAAGGTGCTTTTTATAAGAGTTTGCAGCTCCTCAAACTGAAGAAGTCTTTTTTTTTTTTTTTGATAAAAGATGAAACGTTTCAACAAAGAAGAATCCGTCCAGAGGAACTGACTTAACCTTGTTAGATTTATCTACCTGGATTATTGAGCATGCATCAGGATATAAATCTTATTGTTTTGAGCTTAGCCAGACTTTAAAAACAAATGTTCGGTGGCGTAAAGTTTACAATAGGTGTATTTTCCCTCATATGTTTACAGGTCGAGCATGATTACGTATGTGCAGTATTTTAATATGCCTAAAAAGTTTACAGACTGGCAACCAAATTTAAAAAAAAAAAAAAAAACCACTTGTGTTGTGAATATTAAAAAAAATTAACAGCTAAATATTTAATCATCTTAATACATACCTGAACATGTAGGTACAGTATAGTTAACTTGAATAGCAACATACTTGTGGAATGTGTTGAATGTACAGGCTTTGCATAGTTTACACTTCTTACGTAATAAATGTAACTGCGCATCAATTTAGCGCACACTGTTGTCACGTGCTCCTTGATACGCCTCACGATTCGTTCAACTTGCACATGCGCATTGCACAGTGTTCCCTAGCATCGTAGCTGTAGAACATTGCGGGAAAACGAACAGAAGGGGGGGTTCATTCACTGTATCTCGAATTTTCATATTTGTGTCCCATTAGCGCACAACACAGTACCTAATATCACGGAGTATTTTGTTCTGTTATCGGCCAAAGCTGTGCAGTGGCGACCCGAGAAGGGCTTTTCTTGTGTTCTTTCATCCTGAGCGGCGGGGAATTGGACACACGCTGATGGCGGTCACCATCGAGGATCTTTATCGAAACTACGGGATCCTTGCTGATGCTAAAGACAACTTGAGCCAGGTAAGGAACAAACGGCTTATTAGTTTGAATATAAAACGTTATTGTTCATCTCATAATAGTATTGTAATATACTTAGCGGTGTTGTATTTTATTGTGTTATGGGTTAGCTACAACCGTGGCCATGCTAATGCTAGCTTCTCTGGCGACCATAACAGTCAACATTTAAACGTATCTAATGAGTTTTTGTCTTTTTCTGAAGTAAAGGAGGCTCTATTTAAGGCTTATCGTTATATTTAATCATCATTGCTGCGTTTCATATCTTATGTTACATATAAAATTTACACATTAAAGTTAAAATTAACTGCATAAAGTGCTGTCCTAACAAAAATTAGCCTAACATTGATTTTGGTTGGCAAGTCATTTTACACATAATCAGATCTATAAAAACAAGACGCTAGATTTAATAATCTATTTATTTGTTATAGTCCGATTGTTGTTTGACATTAGTAATTTAAAGATGTACACATTTTAATCATGCTGTATTATAAAAAGTTAAACACTGAGGTTGTAACTTGCATATTTTTATTTTTATTTACACTCTCTGAGACATTTAAATAAATCTGTTCTCAGTAACGTAGTTGTGTGGTTTTACAGTAAAAAAGTGCTACAAAATACAAATTATTAATATACAAGATCCAGTATTGCCTTTTAATTAAATATTTGCTTTTTAACAGTTGTATGTCCCTTTTATTCTTCAGCATAAAGATGCGTATCAAGTGATTTTAGATGGGGTGAAGGGTGGTGCCAAGGAAAAGCGACTGGCAGCACAGTTTATTCCTAAATTTTTCAGCAGCTTTCCAGAGTTGGCCGATGCAGCCATTAATGCCCAGCTCGATCTCTGTGAGGATGAAGATGTGTCTGTAAGTACCAAACGAAACAGTTTCTTAAACATCGTCTTCATTACTGCAACTTGCCTTCGTTCGATTCTTTACGCTCAGTTTATGGGTTCTAGTTTCATTCCTTCGTAAAAGTATGTCTTGTGTGTTTGTGTCCAGATCCGCCGACAAGCCATCAAAGAGTTACCCCGGTTTGCAACTGTCGATAACATCTTCAGAGTTGCAGATATCCTGACCCAGCTCCTTCAAACAGGTGCCAGACTATTTTGAGTCGCACACATTCTTCAGTGCGTCAGAGTGGAGTCTTGAGCAGTAGTAGTAATCTGTATGATTGTGCTTCTAGATGATACAGCAGAGTTCAACCAAGTGAATGCAGCTCTACTTTCTATATTCAAACTGGATGCTAAAGGTAAGTTTTGTTTTATTCTTTTTGCTAGTGGGGCTCGATAGTGGTTTTGTTGTTGTTAAATTAATTGCTGAATAGCTTAACCCCACAATGTCATCTCTCTCATAACCTGATTAGAAAATGTAAAAAAAATTTACTATATTCTCATCTGTTTTTGTCTTTGTCCTGCAGGTACCCTTGGAGGTCTCTTCTCTCAGATTATTCAAGGGGAGGACGTTGTGCGAGAAAGAGCCATCAAGTTTCTATCCTCCAAACTGAAGACGCTACCAGAGGATGTCATGTCAAAGGAGGTGGAAGAGTTTGTCTTTGCAGAAACAAAGAAGGTTTGTAAATAGCGTCAGTTGATCAATACAGCGATATTTAATCATTGATTAAACATAGACGTTTCACTAATGATTAGAGCGTTCAAACACAAAAGAGTCCCTGTTGATTAAAGTTAATCTTACTCGCTGGCTCCTCAGGTGATGGAGGATGTGACAGGAGAGGAGTTTGTGCTTTTGATGCGTGTGGTGTCTGGTCTGCGAGTGCTGCAGTCGGTCAATGGGCGGCAGCAGCTCGTAGAGTTGGTGGTGGATCAAGCTGACCTGGAACAAGCCCTCAATCCAGCAGACCCAGATGCTGTGGACCGCCTCCTGCAGTGCACACGTCAAGCCTTACCGTTGTTTTCTGTGAGTATCCCTAAAACCTCTCAACTCAAATAACCTTTAAAAAAATGTTTTTATTGTGCTGTTGTGATGAAGAATTAGTCGTTCTGCCACTGCTCTCAAGGTGTGTTTGCATTCTTGCAAGATTTTGAGAATTTTAGAAACTTATTGATGGTAAAATAAAGAAAAACAATGTTGTATTTACCAAATGAACACAATTTGTACTTGATGTTGCTGTTTTCATCTTAATTTACCGGTACGCTTTAATCAAAGGTGTCTTGTTTTGTAGAAAAATGTCCATTCCACTCGATTTGTAACGTACTTCTGTGAACACGTCCTGCCCAACCTCAGCACCCTGACAAGTCCTGTGGCAGAACTGGACATTCAGCTGGAGGTGAGTTTATCATTTTACCCTCCATAACTGATTTGTAAGTTTTTGCCACTGAAGTGAAACAACAGTTCAAGACTGGAAGAAAAAAAAAGCGTCATATTTGTTAGTAGATAATGATAGATACATTTCTGTGTCAGTAAATAAATTTGCCCCGAGTTGAATTTTTTTGGTTTATATTATAATGTCTACGTTTTCTGGTTTATGCCTGCAGTTCTATTTTGTTTTGGTATTTATTTAGTATTTTAAAGTCCACATGTTGTAGGTATTAAACAGGAAGACTCGGTTATATGTAGCCATTATGCTTGTGTTGTTTTTATCAGCACAATAAATCACCAGTTAATCAGCCTCTGACAAATATCAAGCAATATTTGTCTTGGATCATTTGATAAGTGACTTAATATTAACAAATATTACTATTACGCATGTGAATTTCACTTACTGTACTTGTTAATAAAAGCTCATGATGTAAGTATCACTGATCTCACATTCAGGATTGTAATATCCCAAAAGGACAAGAGGCCTGTTTATGTTGTCGGGACGAGAAAAAAAACAATGAAGACTTTCAATTTGAGCAATTTGTGGTATTATAGGTGCAAAGTAATGTTCCAGAAAAGTGTCAGTTTGCAATCTGCTTTTAATTTGTTCATTCTCACTGCAAACATTGTCATTTCACAAACCAAAGGGTTTAAGGTTTTTGTTTCCTAATGAAAACCAAATTGACTCCAGGATCTCTTGTGTATTGCTCCCCCCGTTTATTTTTATCCATGTAATTCTTGCTCCAAATCAGCACTCGAGCACTGTAGCTGACAAGTAAGACGACATTAATTTAATAAAAGAGAGAGAGGGGGGGCTGTTATCTGCTCTTGATTCATTCCGCCTAAATCAACACGGTTGTTGAATGTGACCGCTGGTGTTGGGGCGAGAACTCCTCTAACGTTTGACATTTTGTAAGAAGTTGTAAAATCAAAGTCGGCGTGGCAACCACCTGTTAAGTGCTAGCCAGCTGCATGTTAATGGTCGGTGCTATGCAGCACTGTTTCTCATTAGCAGTACACATCACAGAGTGTTTGGACCTGTGTGTTGGTGTTGGCAGGTGCTGAAGCTGCTGGCTGAGATGAGTCCGTTCTGTGGAGACATGGAGAAGCTTGAGGCTAATCTCAGCATTATGTTTACCAAGCTTCTGGTAAGAATACTTTTACTGTTGTCCAGTTTGTTTAAAATAAATCATTACCTTAAATCAAACAATGTTTGAGTAGTATTTAACATACAAACAAAGTTGTCATGTTTTGATTGTTTATTTGTAGGAGTTCATGCCCTTGCCACCAGAAGAAGGGGAGAATGGCGAGAGCTCGGCAAACGAGGAGCCCAAGCTTCAGTTCAGTTACGTCGAGTGTCTCATCTTCAGCTTCCACCAGCTGGGCAAGAAGCTCCCCGACTTCCTCGTTGATAAAGTGGACGCTGAGCGCCTGAAAGACTTCAAGATCAGGTAAGTGAGATGCAAACTAAACGAACGCTGATATTCAATTCTCTGATGCGAGTTCTCCGAGGGTGAAGAGCTAAGTGGTTCTGGAAATCCAACAAGGCTAAAATAGTTGTGACGAGGATTCCCTAAAGCTGACAGCTGTAGAAGTTTTTCTGTTTTTAGCTGCTGTTGTCATCATGTAAGAACGACCATCATAAGAGAAGCACAAAACACTCGATCGAACTTGTTTCCTCCATAAGAGGACTACTTATTGTGCGCACAGCTTCCTGTAAGTGAAGGCGTGTCTCGTTGTTTTTTATGCCAAAGTGTTAACCTAACGTCATCTTATGATGAGAAGGGACACTTGTAACTTTTGGTGAAACCTTAAAGTATTGAGTTGAAGACGTAAATCCAATTATGACTTTTTTGCTTGTACAGTTTTGCCAAATCTGTTGGCGCCTGTAGAGTGTGTTGAGAATTGTTCCGTCACTTTCACGTCAGACTTTAACTCTATATCTGTACGCTTGACTGAGTTATAGCCGTTCTTTGTGGTTGCAGAAGCTGATTAGCCGTAACGACTATATTTAATAGGGACGACTCAAAATAATCATTGCTTTCGTTCTAAACGTTTCATTAAATCCCATCCAATAGTTGAGATATTTTGCTAACATACGGCATTGCCTTAACAGTTAATTCCACAAAGTTGCGAAGACCTAAGAGTGCATATTGCGACTTGCATTTAGCGAGCAGTTTTAGCACAGAATTTGCAAATTGGTCGAACTATGGCCAAATTTATGTTGCTGAACCTTGATTAGTCATGGCGGCCATCTTGAATTGGCGACTCAGAAATCTAATCGATTATAGATGTACACCTAATGATTACTTTTTGAAAAATTTGTGTTCATCCTGTCATCATTTTTGATGTTTGAATCCATATTAATGCGTAACCAAAAACTCACCGTAGAACTCCTGTTAATAGTTTTTGTTGTTTTACAAAAAAAAATGTAGATTTCAGTGCAGAAAAGCTTCTGGGGAAGATTTCAGTTTATTAAGTTATTTTCTCAGGATTCATTGTGAGATTCGTTTAGAGCATAAGGTACGAGAGTGCATATGTTTTACTGGTCATTTCTAGGATTTTTTCTGACAAATAAACAACTGTTTGTTTGTTTATTTTTTTTAAACAGGTTACAGTATTTTGCCCGCGGCCTGCAGGTTTACATCAGACAACTGCGAGTAGCTCTGCAAGGAAAGACGGGAGACGCTCTGAAGACGGATGAAGTAAGGACTTTCTGCTGATTTTTACTTAAACTAAAAACTTTGTCTTTGACATGTCGTTAAAAGAAGCATTCAAAATGAGTCAGGGATGGAAAAAAAGGAACGTTCTGCTGTAGAATAACTTGAAGTTCAACAGTTTTGTTGTTTTGTCAGAACAAGATCAAAGTGGTGGCCCTTAAGATCACAAACAACATCAATGTGCTCATCAAGGTAAAGTTTTCTTAAAGAAAGTGAAGCAAAACAATGAAATGTTTTTGTACGTTTGTTTTCTGGCTCAGTTTTTTTTAATGAAGTTAAACTGATACATTATGTGGATGTTTGTCCACCTCGTGTCCAGAAGCAAATGAACGTTTTGCAGAACATAACTCGAAGGAGCAGCCATGGTTTGGTTCTTAATTGTTACTTTTCCGTCAGGATCTCTTCCACAACCCTCCATCATACAAGAGCACCGTTACTCTGTCCTGGAAACCCGTCCAGAAGCCGGAGGCTGTAGCGTAAGTCCACTTCAGAGAGGAAGGCTTTGATTTATTGCCCTTCTTGTTCATCTTATTCGCTTTTGTTTTTAGGGCGAAGCGTCTTTCAAGTGAAGAAATGGGATCTGGGGGAAGCGCCAAAAAACAGATCGCCCCTTTGCCTCGGCGGGACGCACGGCAAATTTACAACCCCCCCAGTGGCAAGTACAGTGCCTCTATTGGCAACTTTGGTGAGGAATGCAGGGTGGCACTCCCCTCATAGTGTTATGCACGTTTTTTTTTTTAATCTTCACTTTTAGTGGGCGTTTCAGGCGACGAGAGCACATGGGACATGAGTCGTTGTGAGTTTGGAGTTTAAATAGATACAGTTCCAGTCTAATGTTTAAACGTTTTAAACTAAACTACATGCATACTACCATATTTTTCAGCCTATAAGTCACGGTTTTTGCATAAGTTGCGTGCCCTGCGACTCATACGCTGAAGCGACATATTTATGGATTTTTTTCTCATATTTATAAACCAATTTTTGGCTGAGATACGAGCGTTTTCATTCATTCTCACTGAACACTACCATTTTCAGCTGCCAGATAGTACTCGAGTCATGTGGCATGCCGTTGTGTCATGTAATCGCAACCGTCAAATCAGCTTCATTTTGTTGCATCGGAGAAATGCAGTTAATTTAACCAATGAAGTGCATTTATTAAGGAGTTCAACTGAGACAAACATTTACTATAATGTTGAGCAAACAAATAGATGCGACATATACGGCAAAGCAACATATTTGTTTTTTTCCCACTTTATTAGACATATTTGGACTGATGTGACGTGTACGGCGGAAAATACGGTAATGCTGACTGTAACTAAAGTTTAACTTCGTCTTAAATGTTAATGTGTTTGGAGCCTCGTCGTCATAGTGCAGACGTGCAACCTGCACGCGTGACCAAACTCCGAGTCCAAGAGAGAGACGGACGAACCGCCGCAGGAGCACACAGCCTGTTTGTTTCTCTAAGAACATCGCAGCCTATTTTAGGGCACGGCCTGCAAAACTGTATTAAGATAAGATGGAACTTTATTGATCCCACGGGAGATTGTGCCAGAGTTTCAGTACAAAGGAACAGACACAAGGAATCACACGAGAGATATAAAAATAACAGCAATTATCTTCTTGAACAGGTCAGGTGCAGACAGAAACATGAAACTGTTAAAACGGTGTTTTCTATCCCTACACATTATTGTGTTTCCCACGTTACACCCACCTCGACTAGTTTGCACACCATGGCTGCCGTGCCACATTTCCGATTTATTAATCTATTGGATTATTTCATTATTGTGGTTTTTAGACGTAGACCTTTCTCTCAGGTTTTTCTGTCAGGAGAGCCGTCTTGTAGTTGTCAAAAACGGCTGCTGGCGCTCTTGGGTTTGCAGCACTGGTGATTGCAAGCATCTGTGACGGGACAGGAAACTGAGCGTCCCCATGAACATTTCAAGACGTTTTGGAGACCTCCTTACAAATGTTGTTCACCAGTTAGAAGCAACTACATAGAAACTGACTTGAAGAAAGACCGAACGTTCCTAAAAATGTGGGGTTTATTTTCTGTGCAGCTGTCAAATGTTGATTGCAGCTGTTTGATAACGAGTCACTGGGTGCTCAAAAGCTTCAGAGCAGCGCTGCAGTCGGACACCTCAGGGCATGTTCAAGGCGCTCTGTTGCTCTGGACTGTGCTTGATATGCCAAGAGTTTTTTTTTTTTTTTTTTTTAAAGAAGTACATCTAAAGATGCAAGCTAATTTAGATTTTTTTTTAATTGTCTTAGGTGGGGGGGAAAGGAAATCCCTGAAATTGCCCGGTAAATTAATTAGCGTGTTTTTGTTTGTAACGAAGCGGTCGCAAATCTGTTTTTATACGTTTTCACAACAGAACAAGTCTTGAAAGACGGAGGAGAGGCAGCTCGGCTATGAATTAAGTTTAAAATAAAATGTTTATACTGATTTGTTTCTCCATTTTGTCTCTCCAGAGCAGCGCGGCGGCTTTCGGGGCGGCCGAGGACGAGGCTTCGGAGCCAGAGGCAGCAGGAGCCGGGGCCGAGTCTACTGAGTGTACGCTTTGCTCTTTAACTGCATCACATCAGGATCTTTTCCTCGCAGCACAGACCAGTTCGCATCTTCTGTATTTTTTTTTTTTAAGGGTTCACTTTCTCGAGGTTTGGTTTTTAGTTTGGGTGGGGAGGGCAGGGGTTGTTTTCCTGTTGTCTGAAGCTCCGGCTCCGACTTTTTTTACTCACCATGTCGATATTTACTCCCTTTATTCCTCTTAGCCAAGGTGATAGTAAATCCAAATGTGTTGTTTTTTTTGTTGTTGTTTGTTTTCATCAAACCTTTAAGCGTATATTTTTGTGAAACAAGACTGCCAAGTTGTGATTAATTTTGTTAGATACTTGTCAGAAAAATAAATGAAGATCGTCTTGTCTTGCGACATGTCGGTAAATGCATCCATTTCTTTTTATTTAATCTTGTTTTTGTTTGAGCTTAATTTGAATTGGCTGACAGCTACTTTGTAATAATTATTGATGCCGTTTCATTGGATTTTTATCATAAACTTGTATGGAATACGATCCACTGACTGATTTCCTTCCTAAATCACAAATTTTGTCTTTGATGCCAAAATTTCTTCGCGGTTTCTGATTTTCACACTTCCGGGTTGCAAAAGCATTAACCTCCCATGGTGTTCCCTCTACTTTGCTGCCTTTCAACCAGGAATGCAAATGGATTTTCTGTTTATTTTTAAGTAATAAACATGGGAAAATCCTCCAAAAATAATGACTTTAAACAGGAGTGGAAAGGTTTATTGTTTAATATTTAAAACATAAAAAGCTGTAAAATGTTGTGTACCTTATTTTCCGGTGTATATGTTGCACCTTTTTGTCTAATTTTCATACACTACGACTTGTACGTTATGTTTTTCTCCCATATTTATAACCCAATTTTTGGCTGAGATCTGACGATTTCATTCATTCTGACATGGAAAATATTGAACACTACCATTTTCAGCCACTAGAGGGCCCTCGACCAATGTGGCAAGCCAAGTGTCTCATTAATAGGTAAAAGTGGCTATTAATGAGACACTTGGCTTGCCATACAGCCCACCTTGAGTAAACATCAATTCTGCTGCAGCTGAATTGATCATCAAAGTGCATTTATTAAGGAAAAGTTAGACTGAGACACACCTTTACTATAAGGTCGAGCAAACAGATAATTGTTTTTAAGTGTTAATCTTGTTCTCCAGTCACGTGCACGCTCCCGCGGTCACCTGGCCCACGTTTCTGGGTTGTCAACGGTGACGCATAATAGATACGACTTATATGGTGAAACTATGTATTTATGTATTTTTTCCCCTTTTATTAGCCATATTTGGACTGATGTGACGTACGATGGAAAATACGGTACATATTATTTTATCCTTATGCTTTAAAGTCTCAACAAATACCTCCAGAAGTCACATGGGTAGTGTTCAGCAGGATCCACCTGTGGGCAATAAGTGTCGGATGGTTTCAGTAAATGTACACCAGTTTACTAATTGTAAGTGTTGGTTTCAGTAAATGTACACCAGTTCACTAATTGTACGTGTTGGTCTACCGCCCAATAATAGACATTAAGACGAAGGAACTCCACACAGGTCAAAGACAAACCTCTGGAGAAATATACAGCTACGGGTTAGAATTAAATATTTCTGAACCCTAATTATCCCATGGAGCTTTATTAAATCTGTTACTATACGTTGTACATGATGGAGCAGTGGTTTGAGCTGTTCCTTCAAAGGACAAAAGTTGCTGATTTGATTCCTGGCTGCACTGCACGTCAACCCTGAGCACACACAGGTTTTCTCTGGGTACTCTAGATTTCCCAGACCAAAGGCGTGCATGTTGGGCTCATTGGTAACTAAATTGACCCCAGGTGTGTGTCCCTGTGATGGGCATGCAACCGGTCCAGGATCTACCTGCCTCACACAGTGACTGCTGGTGGAGATAGGTGCCTGTGACCTGGAAAGAAGCGGATAAAGAAGATGGATAGAAAAATGTGGACAAACTGCTGGGAGACATTCATCCACCTAAACTCGTACTGGGTATGGAAGGTATTAATCAGAAACATATAGTCTAACATGACCTTGGTGGAGCTGGGCAACTTTTCTGCAGAGGTGGTAGCATCTGTTCATACAACCACTATAAGCTGCACAAATTAAAAAAAAGATTTGAAATGTGGCACAATGGTTGAGTACAGCATATCTGGAGAAAACCTACCACCGCTCGGCGTGCTGAGAATACCATCCCTGCACCACGCATGGTGGTGGCAGCATCATACTGTGGGGTGTCCCTCTTCAGCAGAGACGAGCAGGACCCATCCAACCTGCAGGAGCTGCAGCAGTCTGGTTATGAAGGATGGAGAGAAGTTCTGGGGCTTCGATGTGCCACGCTTGTGGAGACGGACCTACAGAGACGATGCTGTAACTGACGCAAAGGGTGGTGACGTTCACCGTAGGCATGCACCTTTTTATGATTGTTGAAATGATTTAAATCAAGTTCATCTCAAGCACTTTGAATGGGTCCACTATCATTTAAATTTTACGTTGTACAGTAATAATCAGAAACAAGGCCATGCGACGCAAACGTTTGCATTCCTTTGTATCAACGTCTCTCTTCCCTCTTTCTGTTCAACCTCTTGTTTCTGTTCCTCGCCGGATGAAGGTTACTTTAGCTCACAATTTGCCATCCCCATGTTACCACACAGGGTCCTGTATGAATCCGTTAGTGTTCCCCTTTCCTGTCTACAGATAGTGTGTGAATTGGTAAATACGAGAATCAGGCCCTCAATTATTGAAAGAGCTATAAATAGCTCCTGTCTTGTTCACGGCTTGTTTCTTTCTCACACAGCCAGGTGGTGGAGCCTTCAGTTCTCTGAGGAACATTCTGACAGTACACGAACACCTGAATGATTTAACACAAGCAAAGACTTAGTTTTAGTCAAAGAACAAAAAAAAAATCAAATGTTGCCTCAACACAAGCATCGTTCTCAATCTTTGATGCACATACAGTATATTTGCATTTTACTGATCATCAAATTATTATAAATAGCATTTTAACGGTTGTAATTTGAAAATACATTCAAATGACTGTTTGCAGCAACCTGCAGCACAACTCAGTGTTACAATGAATGAAGAGAAGAGACAGGATCCAAGAAAAGGAAGTAGAGAACACGCAGCCAGCTCTGAGGGAGCAACAGGTCTTCATGTAAACACGCGTGTGATGGTGTGTAGGTGGAGACTGCAGAGAGGAGGAAGGTGAGAGGGGGCACCGAGCTTTCTAATTGGACTGCAGCAGCCGTTTGCAGCGAGGAGACTCTTATAACAAAAGCTTGAAAGTTTGTGAAGATTTTATAATTTTCTATTTTTCTTCATAAATACGACCTAAAACATCAGATTGTCACACAAGTTCTAAAAGTAGCTAAAGAAAACCAAATGAGACAAAAAAAATATTATACTTGGTCATTTATTTATTGAGGAAAATGATCCAGTATCACTGATCTGTAAAGTATGTGAACCTCTAAGATGATCAGTTCGTTTGAAGGTGAAATTAGAGCCAGGTGTTTTCAATCAATGGGATGATGATCAGGTGTGAGTGGGCACCCTGTTTGATTTAAAGAACAGGATCTATCAAAGTCTGCTCTTCACGTTTGTGGAAGTGGATCATGGCAGGAACGAAGAAGATTTCGGAGGAGCTCAGAAAAACAGTTGCCGATGCTCATCAGATGGAAAAGGTTACAAAGCCATGTCTGAAGAGTTTGGACTCCACCAATCCACAGTCAGACAGATGCTGCACAAATGGAAGAAATTACCCTCCCCAGGAGTGGTGGACCAACAAAGATCACTCCGAGAGCAAAGTGTGGAATAGTGGGCGAGGTCACGAAGGACCCCGGGGTAACTTCTAAGCAACTGAAGGCCTCTCCTACATTAATGTTCATGAGTCCACCATCAGGAGAACTCTGATAAAATTTCCTTAGAAATATAACTTAAAATATATAAATATAAATGTTTTTGTCATATGCACCACATGGTACATGTAGTGGAACAAAATTGTGTACACAGGGTTCCAGGATATGAAACAAGAAAAGCATTAACTAGAAATACGCTAAGCACAAGTAGTATAAAAACAAAAAGCCGAACAGCAGCACAAATGTGAGTCCGCGCGAGCAGACGAGCACGAACAAACGCAGCTTCACGATGTGATTTTTTTTTTTCTCATAGTGATTATTCTGGTTAGAGATTCACGAGTCCAACAGACTGAGGGTAGAAGCTGTTCCTCAGTCTAGTGGTTCTACACTTTATGCTCCTCAACCTCCTGCATGAGGGGAGCGGGGCAAAAAAGTGTGTGTGCTGGGTGAGTGGGGTCCTTCATGATGCAGGTGGCCCTCTTCCTGCATCTGGAGGTGTAGATATGCATCTGTGATGGTGGGGAGACTGACTCCAACATCTTCTGTGCAGCCTTCACCACTCTCTGCAAAGCTTTTCTTTCTGCAGCTGTGCAGCCTCCATGCCACACGTTGATGCTGGAGCACAGGATGCTCTCCACTGCACACCTGGAGAAGGAGGTGAGGACTGAGCTTCCCAGTCCAGCTCGTCCCAGCCGCCTGAGGAAGTAGAGTCTCTGATGTGGTATGAATGTTTCTGTCCAGTGCCCTGAGATGACCTCTGTTGTGACTTGGCACTATGCAAGTAAACTGAATTGAATTTAACAACAATATGGTGCGCATGGCCGGGTTAGAAAGCCAACAAATACTTATTACTACTGTTCATGCTAGGTCAGGTTGGGTCATGTTGCTCCGACTTTCTGACTCAGAATTCCGACATCAGGGTGAGTTCCAGTCGAAATTCTAACTTCCAGTACAACTGGAGTGCAGTTTTGTACATGCAATATAGAAAACAACCCAAAACAAAACCTGTAAGTGAAGTTATTCATTATAAATATTCTGGGCTTATCGACAATGTAAAGCTTTTGAATAGACAAATCGTATGAATTTGTATATGCATTTTTTAAACATCTTAATAATTATTATTATTACCCGCCACTAAATGCAATAATGTTTTTTTTTGTTTTTTTTATCTTGTATGGGTTTTTTTGGTTGTTGATCTGATCTGTTAGCAAAATA